TAGTACTATAGACTTATTAGTGCCATAAACTTATTAGTACCATGAACCTATTAGTACTAAGAGACTATTAGTATTATAAAATTACGGGTATAAATAAAATATTAGTACTATAGAACTAATATTATAAAGAAGTAGTTAGTATAAACAAATAATTAGTATAAAGAAACCATAGCAGGAATCTGCCTATATAATAATATGGCTTAAATAAATCTACTATATAAACTCAAAATATAATTAAGCCTTAGCTATATACCTAATACTTAACTTGCCGGCTCCTAGAACTAATAAGAGTCCCGGGATCGCGGTATATCCTGGGACTACTATTTCTAGGACCTCCTATAGTCCTGGAAACAAGTTTCCTGGGACCCTTATAGGTCCTAGGAACTTATGGGTTCCTGGAAGTAAGCTAGGAAGAGGTCAAAATTATAGTGGATTCTAAATATAGAGCTAGTATAAGAAATAAAAGCTATACTATTCTATCCTAATTAATCTCTCTTATTATAATATGTCTTACTTATACCGATTTTACTAGTCCAGGATATAGTAACTATTAAGCCAAATCAAGAGTATATAGTAATAAGGTCAAAGCCTGGCAGGTACTAGTATATGATATCCTTTATAGCCTTGAATTAATTACGCAGTAGCTAGGGCCCCGCCAAATTTGGTCTAGCCTTAAAGAAACTTATTCGGAATAAGTAAGTAATTCCGCAAATATATAACTGGCTATAAGTTTACTTAGGGAATATACTATAAGAATAGTATATAACCGAGAAAGAATAAAGAAGGAAAGAAAAGACAGGGCAAACATAAGCTCTATAATTATATACTCTTAATATATTATTAAAGTATTAGGAAACGGTCTTGTAAATACTCTTTATATAATTCTGGAGATACTACTTATACTATAGCCCTATTTAATAGACCTTATACTAGAGCCGATCCCCTTCTTTAATATAGGCCAGATACTTCCGCTTTAAGTACTTTATTAAGTCTCCCGGACTAGTAAACTTATAAGTACGCTTTTCAAATAGTAAGCTCTACTTCCCTAAGTAAAGGAAGCAGGTAGTAGTTCTCTTCTCGGTAAATACTAATAATATAGTATTACTTAATACTTGCTTCTTGGCCTAGGCAGCTACTAGCTAGGGGCTAGTCTTCTTTGACGGTATTAGACTTGTCTATTATATAGATGACCTTTTACGTAGTAGGGTAGTAGCTTCTCCCTCCTAGAAGTAGTAGTAGGCAGCGACTATATTAATAGCCGTATTATGGCGGCGGAACTCTTCTTTAATAATTATATCCGGGAGTATTATTACCGTCTTCGCCAAGCGCTTCTAGAGCGGGGGTATCTTATTATTCTGGTCTAAGGTAGTCTTTATATCCTGGCTAAGCTTGAGTCTAGAGAGCTGCCGCTTAATCTCGTTAACCGGGTATTCCAGATCCTAGTATTCTTGGATATACTTAAGAAATATAGCTCTTAGCCGCTGCCTGGTATTAAAGATTATACGGCTAATAATCCGGTACCCGGGCTACTATATTACCATATCCTGGAAGCGGCGCTTCTACTTCTCCCGCTCCGTAACGAGGCGGCGGACGACAGGATCCTTATTTACGGACAGGGATTCCTCGGGCATGAGTTCTTATAGCCGGTCAGAATTAATCTAGTAAGTCATCCGATAGGCCGCCCGTATTAGGTCATACTAAGGTTTATAGCCAGAGACAATAGCTCATATATTAGTAGTAACTGTCTGCCGGAGGTAGTATTTAATAAAGATATTAATCTTGGTATATTATATTATTATATTCTAGAGCATATTGCTTATATTACCTATTAGTCTATAGTTAGCATATTATATTACGGGTAGGGTGGGCTTGCGAGAAAGGGGCCATATAATATATACCGCTCTAGTTAAAAGCATTGCCTATACCATATCGGAGAGAGTACGGATGCGTAATCTGCGGGAACCTAGTAAGTACGCCGAGCCGCTTTATTTACTTTAAGAGAGTCATATACGGCAGTGGCTAGTCGGGCGAGATCTCCCAGCCATATGGTATCCTAACAGACTTGCGGAAGATAGGGATATTAGCTATCTCTGGCTTTAGATATAAGGGCAGCTACTTATAGCCAGGCTTAATATCCAGCTCGCTAATCCTTACGGCTAATATAAGACTTGGGACCAAGAATATATTATTAGTAAAGATGAGGCCCAGGAGGGCAATATACGGACTAAGGATTAGGAACAGATTAAAGATAATCTCGGGAAGTATAAACGTATTCCTGGCTTCTCTATAAGTCGCATGTCTCGGCTAGAATAAGAGGGGAATAGGGAGGAGAAAGGGAGGGGAGACGAGAAAGGGCCTAAGGTCAGACTTATATATCTTTTATACTAAGATACTTCTTTATAAACTCGTACGTAAACTCAATCAGGATCTAATAGGGCCCGCTACTAGGGTCCCGGAGCAGGTTTACTATAATATTACTATAGCAGAGCTTTAGGAGCACTAAAGGTCAGTTTATAGAGAAGATAGCTAGCTAGCAGAAAAGGCTAATCTCGATACGGTACTAGCTATATATATATCTCTGCTTCGTTATAGTCAAGTTAGTCTATAGAATGCCTGCAAGATCCTCGATATATATCGTAATATTATTACGCTTCTTCGTTAATAGGCGGTACTTCTTTGCCAGCTTCCTGAGGACCTGTGGCAAATGCTTTATTAGCTCTTATCTATAATAATTCGGACTAGCTTAAGCGGGCAGATAGGAAACGGTACTTACCCGGTATATATAGTAGTTTATCTTTCTCTTAATCTTTTCTCTAGTCGCTTATTCATATACGAGCCGGAAGATCTTCTAGTATATCCCGAGCATACTAGCTAACTAGATACCGGCAAGCCTCCTCCTACCCTTTCCCTAATATTAATTCAATATCTATTTGAAAAAGGCCTTAAGGATACGGCGAGAGACGGCCTATATTACCCGGGCAGGGTCCTTCCGTATATACTCGCAGTACCTATAAAGAGAGTCAGATTAGCGGATTCGATAGCAAGAGATAGTAGGCAAGAAGAGAATAGGGTACCTACTAATGGAAATTTCCCTCGATTATATCCAGGAAAAGGAGACTGCCATTACTATAGTCCTTATCTTTATCCTCGGATTCGTCAGAGTTATTCTCTTGGTCGAGGTAGTACTCTGGCGGGTAGGCGTTCCCCCCTCTAGCGAGCTACTCCAGATCTGGCAGATCTGCCTCGTTATCTCCGTTAATATCGGCATTAACGTCCATTAATACGATATGAGCATTATCCGCTATAGCGAGCCACTCCAGATCTGGCAGATCTGCCTCGTCGTCTCCGTCGATATCGGTATTGACGTCCGTCGGCTCGGTCTCGGCGTCGGTCTTCTCTTGCTTATCCCTTATATTAAAGCAGCTCTCGATATCTGACCTATTACTGTCGGAGGAGGAGGAGCTTGGTATTGGTTATTGGCGATGATGCATATCGACTGGATTAACCGAAGGGGACGACGGCGAGGGCGATTAAAAGTAAGGAATAAAGGCAGAAGATGTAAAGGAGGAGCCTGCTGCCCAAGTAATGGCAGCGAGCGGAGGGGGAGGAGAGAGGTAGAACGAGGGATAGTAATGGTTGAGTATGAGAGGCTTAGAGGAAAGAAGATAGAGAAGGGAGGGAGGACGAACGAATATATAGGATGGCCGCTATCTTGAGTTGCCTATGGGATGGTGGGCAGCCATTTTCTGCTCCCCTTCTCAGAAAATGTTAAACGAGAATGAGAGAAGCGGTCCTCCGAATGATGACTTGACCCACTGGCTTTTTTTGGTGTTCCTGTAGCAGGTTAGCCATGGCAGGGGTCCTCACCGCCGTACCGCCTTGACTATGAGGTACGCGAGCGGTAGAGCGGTGCGAGATTTTGGCAAGTCAGCTACAGAAAACAGCGACAAAACTGGCCGAAAACAGCAGCCAGTTTGCCGTCTGGTCGTTAAATAGAGTAAATATTTCTTTTATATAATTTAAAAGTATAATATATTTAAACGTTTTTATTAAGACTTCTAATAAATAATACTATTATTTTATTTAAACTTTTAATTAGAACCATTCTTAATAATACATTATTAATATAAGATTAATTATATTTATTATTTTCTTTCCTTTTATATAATTATTTTATAAATATTATATATTACTAATTTTCTGTTTTTAGCTTTAAAATAAAAGAAGCCTTTTATATAAATTTTCATTTTTTATATTATAATTATCTTTGAAAAATAGTATACTAGTAGTATAGAAATTTTAAAGTTAATTAGGTTATTAGTTCCTTATTTATTAAAGTTCAAAAATCGGGAGTTTTGGTGTAAAATGACCGTGCGTTGACTCTGGTCGTGCGTTGACCTTGGATCTCGGTTATTTGTCAAAGCTTGTTGGCAGATAATGAGGGAAGGGAAGAGCTGGTTTTATATTCTCAATTTAGGATTGCGTCCGGCTGGGAATGGGCTCAACCTTCAGAGTCACAAATTCACATCTATTCAGATTTTTAAGGGATCGACAAGAAGAAAATCAAGCAAAGCCAACGATGGCTGAACACAAGGATGGTCTGATCCCTTTTGGCAGTTTGTAGACACTCCCACTTCGTAATCGCCCCGATTCGTCCGAATTCGTCCGAGTTGGTGCGGGTTCGAGTGGACACACTTTGAGCATACACGTTCGCACCAACTTGGAAAGAAGAATTCTCTCGTCTCTTCCTGACTTGTGGAACACTCATATCAATTGGTCAACCTTGGTGAAGTTTGACCAAATTCTGTTCGGAGGTATCACTGACTTATCCGCGTACAAGGATCTGGGAACCCTGCAGTCCATCAGCCCCGCTCCTACGACCACAATCAAAACCCTTACCACACACCTTTCATCCTTTTCCTTCGGTCCAACTCGGAAATCTCAAACCTACCGTCATGCATACACCCAAGAGCGCCTCTAGTGACCGACCATCAAAGCGCCTCCGTCTCGGCACGAAAAGCTGTGCCGAATGTCGCAGACGCAAGGTGCGCTGCATCTTCGGGCCAAACACAACGGTCTGCAAAGAATGCTCTACACACGAATCAGAATGCGTCTCTCAGCAGTCCGTTCACGCGTCAAAGGGAAGTCCAAGTGGCGACGAACAAGACCTTCAGGTCAAGCTACAGGGCCTCGAAGAAATGGTCCATCGCCTGTGCGAGGCCATGAATGTCAGGCCGGAGCTTTTGAACAATTCGCCGCTCGAGATGAGCGCTGTGGAAGCTCTTACGAGACTACAAAGTCTTTCTTCATCTGAAACAAGTCTGAGGAATACAACAAACGTGGGAGCCGGATGGAGAGAGGTATCTGAATCACGATCCTCGCCTTCCTCTGATCAACTCGGGTCATTCGAAGAAGCACCTTTACTTAACCTGTTCCAAGAGGCTATGCTCATTCAGAAACACCACGCCCAGTCACACAGAAACAATCAAGATTTGTCTTCTGATCATCGGATCGTGACCTACAGCATGGCCATCAAGGCTTTGATCCCCAGGCCCGACGACCTCGAGACGATCCTGCAAATGACTGAAAGATTCTGGCCCATCTGGGAGGAATCACTCAATCTTATAATTGGGACAGAACCCCGTTCTATTACTGACATAGCTTCAGCCAGAAACTTTATCCTCGAGTCCATGAAGTCCGAAACCCCCGTGTTGATCGCCAAATCCTCCCTCTTCCTTGCACTTTGCGTCCAACAACTTCCAGTCAGCTTCAAGAACCAAGTAACGAACCTACCTGCCGAGCCAAATGCTCTCCTCGACGCTTATATCAGAGGGGCAGAGGGTCTGATCTCAGTGAATGAAAGCCGTCCCGCCACCATCGACAGCTTAGAATGTCTGAATATACTCGCCAAGTTGTACCTAAACATGGGAAAGCCTCGCGAGGCATGGCACTGTGTTCGCCGCGCACTAAACTCAGCTCTGCTCCTGGGATTACACAATGCAGGTGAAACGGCCCCACACAGACAAAAGGCTGTTTGGGGGCATATCTGGCAACTCGAACGACATCTTTCTGCATTCTTTGGTTTACCGTCTGCCACTACGGACTCCCATCCTGGAGTGTCAACCCCGCCGCCTGCCCAGGATTTCGGAGCGCGAATACTGTACGATCTCGCCGTCATTGCGGGGCACATTATCGAGCGGAACCAGAACCACCAGACTGCCAACTACGCTGTAACACTGGCCATCGACCAAGAAATCCAACAATGCAAGAGCCGCTTACCCCCGGGCTGGTGGAACGGTATTCCCACCGCATCCACACCCCTGACAACAATCTATAGCCTCGGCATCCTCAAAATTGGATTCTTCTCCGGCCAGAAGATGCTCCACCTCCCATACATGCTCAAGTCCTCTCCCGACAACAACTACGAGTACAGTCGCCTTCAAGCACTTGATGCTGGTCGTGAGATGATCAAGGGCTACCAGGCAGTTCGACAACATCCCGAACTCATGCTCACGATCTGCGATCTCATGGATTTCCAGGTTTTCACCGCGGCGGTGGTTCTCGTCATCGACCTCTTGAATCAACCTTCGCAGCTTGAAACTCACCAGGAAGCCAGTGATTGGAACCTTGTTCATGATGTCACGAAGAGCTTGAAACTCGTGTCTGAGGCTATGGAATGCACAGTTGCTGGACAAGCTCAACATCTACTTGAACATCTCTCAACTTTCCGTGATGGTGCTTACAAAGGTCCTGATAATTACGAGGTTATCATCCCCATGTTTGGGAGAGTGAAGATCAATCGTCCAAAGAACAGGACGGTGCAGCCTGGTATCAATAATCTTTACCAGAATGGAAATCAGTTCGAACAGCAGTTCATGCCGATGGTAGAATTCAGTGCTAATTCGTTTGCGCCTTTTGGGATGACGGGAGATATCTTGTCTGAAGGGGAATTGGGGACCGATTGGACTTCTGTCTTGAATGTGGACTACAACTATGATTGGAATCAGACTTTTGATGGATCGTTATTTGGATGAACTTACCACTCCGACTTTCGTTTAAGGTTCATCCATACGACTCAAAATCTCCCGTCCCTGGATTCGGACGGCTCGGGTACTCCTGGTATCTCTGACTTGGTCCAAATCGGCAGCTCATCTTCACATAAAGAGGCTCAACGGGAATCTAGGCGAAAATGGAGTCAAGACGTTGCCCTCTCATTGCTTCCCACAAGCGAACCCGATGTCATCTTACGGAGCTTTTTTCATCAGCGATTAGTCTCACTCCCTTCCGTTTTGCAAAACGCTTCCCGATCCAATTGAGAAGGCTGGAGATAAGTACCTGAGATAACCAGAAATGTCGGCTCAGGGCAAGCACGAACCTACACCGCTGCCGAATATGCAAAGGCGACGAAGAAGAACACGGACTACCCATTCTACAGCCATAACATTGACAAATATCTATCACCAGAGGTAAGCGTCATCACTTCCTCTTCCTGCTATACGTTCCACGATTCTTTGCGATATGGCAATGCTAATCTGGCTCAATAGACTCAGCCATTCTCATAGATCTGCAATTCAAGATAATTGGAACTTTGCAAACGCTACTCAACGGCGGCGAAGGAAGCTATTTCTCCTTGCTCGGCACCTCCGATCGCTCAAACCTTGGCGCTGTATCTGCCCTTGGCTACTAATTCCAGCGACTCTCGCAAGCAGCACCGATCCAGGGATCACTGTCTGGAACAGAGCACCGAGGTTGTGTTTTGTGGAATGACACAGACCCAGGGGTCCTCAATAAAGCGTGCCTACTAAGGGATGCAGTCGGAACTTTTTCTTTTTATAAAATCGGATGCCAATGTAAGATGTTCCATGAATTGGACCCTTGGGTCTTTTCGCGCAAAACGAAATTCATCTGGTTCCAAAGCAAAACTTGTGCCCAATGCGCCATTTCTGGGAAGATACAGATCAAGGCATGCTTAACGCATCCTGTACGGCAATTCAAACTGGCACGGAAAGGACTTGAAATCCGTAAGAAGGCAGGGTCTGTACGGTCTTCAATAGGGTGATCCAAATTACGTATGGGCGAAGTTTGCTTTTTCTGCTCGACTTGCTCCAGGGTGGGACTCGGAGGTTGGATATATGGTTTTGGGAGATTTCTTCAATCCGATCTATCCAGATGGTAATAAAGGCGTTCCCACGAGTGTATACATTCCTTGAAGTTTGGCATCAGGATTGGGTTGTACAAAAGGTGAAAGGTGACAAGTGATGAATGACATGGCAGTGTATCAATTATTCTGTGTGGCAACCGGCATAAACAATAGCATATTGATCAATGTTTAGACCCCGCCGTCGGTTCCCATGCCCGGATTATCTCTCTCCATTCCTCTTCCCACGCATCGAATGCCTGCAGCCCCTGCAACCATTCTCTCGTCCGCTTCACCCGTGTCACCTCCTCTTTCAATTTGCTAGTTCACCCTATAATATTTGTGCTCCGAAGCTGCTACGCCTATCCGAGGTGCAGAGCTTCCATGAGCGGTTGTCTCTGCGGCCCGCTCGGCCTTAATTACCACCTTCCACACGGTCAACGGTCGTGACGCGTACGGAAGATGAGGACAAGCCTCCCGCGGAGAAAGCACTCACATCAGCTAGGCTGCTTGAGCTTGAATCTCAGTGGCAGAATTGACCCCAGATGATCTTTGAGGAAGTCTCGGTGAAAGAGGCCCCTAATTCTGCCTCCGCTGCTTCGCGCATTCGCGAATCGCCCCCCTGACGCCCCTTTTTTTCGTCACCAAATTCAAGCGAGCTCGCTTCCGGCATGAACCGACTGCCGTATCATTTCCATCTCAACTTGACTTCGTCTGATCCCGCTCTTCCTATCACCAACCATGATTCCCCGATAATGCCCACCACAATGGCCTCCTCCCTCTCCGCCCGCACAGTTTTCCTCAAGCTGCATCCCTCCGCACGCACTTTTGCCGAACGGCGCGAAGTCCTACGAGTGATGGAGCGCTTCGGCGAAGTGACCATGTTCAAATCATACAAAGTACTTCCCCCTCCCCCACAAATCTCAATTCTTCTACTCACAAAAGCCAATCGACAGTACAGCCCCCGCAGCCCAACCCCAAACACCTTCCTCGTGCTCTTCGCCTCCGAGTCCGCCGCACGAGACCTGGTAAATGCGTCTCCTGTCCGCTACCGATTAATCTTGAGCCCGAATCCTTCTTCCTTTTCTCCGCCTCTCGAATACGCGCCCCAACCACAAGCTTCCCCTCCGACCAATACCTCAACACCGTCTGGTCCCGACCCCCCTACAGACGAGTCCCAATCTTCTCCATCCACGAACCAACAAACCACCAATGAAAGCGAAAAAGATCAACAAACCGCCCCCTCCCCCACACCCTCGCTCGACCCTAAACCCCAAGAACAGCCCTACCAACTAATGGCATACCCCTCCTACTTCTCGCACACACTTTACCTGCGCTCGCCCCTCCACAACCCGCTGCACGGACCCTACACCCCCATCCCCACCAACTCCTCCTATATCGCCTCCTCCTTAACCCAGAACGTACCGTCTTCAATCATGACCTCCGGGCTGCTGGATTGGGAGACCGATAGTCGGTCCGGGAAGATGGGGTTCCATGATCTCCGCCCCGACGAGCCAGCTAGCGGGGATAAAGATGGCGAGATGGAGGGAGGGATGGAGGGAGATATGGAGGAAGATATGGAAGGGATAGAAGGATACTCGAGGCGCGAATTAGAATCATACATGGGAGGGGAATTTGGTGGAGATAGCCTGGAAAATGAGGGAAGCACAGCCAGGAATGCGGGGTTTTACTTTCAAAATCGACAGAGGAGACGCGCCGAGAAGAGTAAACCGGGCGTTATGGGCGGGCTACGGGCTTTGAGGAGAGAGTACGAAGCGGGGGAGCAAGAGAGGGCGCTGGAGGCGGAGTGGGAACAGGGAGGCGGGTTTGCGCGTTCTGAGGTGGATGTGAAATGAGGCAGCTATGAGTTGTTATGGATGGCTATTATGACTACTGAAAGGCCGGGGACGAGGTTCATGGCCTGATTGAGGGAGCTGTCTACACGCCGCACCGCCGGCGAAGTATAAAGGGGACACTGGATCTGAACTGTGATCGAAGTCCAAGTCCCTAGCCAATGCTAAGTCAAGGCCGCAATGACCAAGATTCGTCAATAGTGTGGAGAGGATGCTCTTCTCATCCCAGCTGCATAAAAGGAACTCGATGGAACTTCTGTCTTTATGCAGTCTGAGAAGACGACCACCAGATGTGTTCTTTGGACGCAGGGCAATTGAAAGAGAAGGAGTTCTTCAAAGACCAGACAGACGTTGCGTGAGGCCACTGCCGGCTTCCTGATACTCGACAAAGTATCTGAAGAAGGAAGGTGCAATCTTTGCATCCTGGTGGGCACTCGGGATAATACGGCGCTCGATTGGGATTGATAGGTGCTCTCTTGGGGATCTGAAGTATGCATCGCATCACACTCCACACAATTTCCACGAATGAAGTCGAGATACTCAATTTATATTACTGATTCTTGATATCCATTGTTCACCAGCGATTTCTACAATCTACCTATCTCACCGACTGATCAACTCCAAACACTACTCCTCCAATACCACCCCTCCCACCCTTCACCAACATCCCTAGTCTCCTGCAACCCGCCCCTCGCCCCCGCCCACTTCCAGACAAAGTCCATACCAATAAGTAGCACACCAGCAACCCATTTGCCAGGCTCCTTCTTCCTCATCGATCCGCCACCATCGTTTCTGCCTCCCGCCATTTGACAATTCTGCTCCCCAGTCTCACCACCGTGGGCGAAAGTCAAAGTCTTAGCACTATTCATCACCCCACGTCCTGAATCTTGCTCAAATTCCTCCCTTTGCTGCCCTTCCCTCGGCCAACCCCCTTTCCCGAATTGCCTCGTGAATCAAGCATCTCACGATGGCCGCCGAGATCACCCTGCTCAGGAACAGCACCGAGATTACTCCTCCGAGAACCCTTCGAGCTAGCGCGACTCAAGCTCCCCTTGACATGACGGACAATCTCTACTTCCTTCTCTTTGATCTTATCCTCGAAAGCTCCAAGAGCCGCACGATTGGGATGTTTGGCTTCGAGACTCTTCTCGTCGACGAGCTTGTTCTTTAAGCGAATCTCGCTGAAGCGGGACATGCTGCCGAGTTCGAGAAGGCACATTCGGCGAGTGTGGTGGTGTGGATTGCCGATGATGACAGGACGCCAGGGTTCATCTTCCTCGAGGCCCTCTTGAGCGCGAAGCTGGGAGGCCCGGCGGGCATTGTGGTATCGGTCCATTTCCGCTTTCTTCGAGTCGGGGATGATTTGGACCTCTGTGAAACGGACGAGAACCGCAAGAAGCATAAGCGAAAGGATGAGCAGAACACCAGCCATAACACCGCAAGCTGCTTGTTGGCCCAGATGTCTTGATAGGACACCACCAGCACCAGAAGCTGCAGAAGCGATCAGATAGCCGAGCCCTTGCGTGATACCAAACGCTGAACAAACACGAGGAAACGATGAGTAATTCGTACGTTTGCTTGCTGTCTTGTCGCCCGAAGAGCCACGTGGGCGACCAGTCATTCCAGGCTGCAGATCTGAGGTATCAAATGTTTCCATGATGATACCATGGCATTCGGCCATAGCAAGATTGGAGAGAAAGCCAATCAGTCCAGCAAACAATATTGGAATGATGAATGGCACCGGGGGACCGCTCGCCGAGAGGGTATATCCCAGACCAGCGAAGGGAAGAACCAAGATGAATATGGCACGTCGAACCATGTGCGAGGTCCAAGAAACCTTCTTTTGAAAAGTTTGGTCATCGTTTGGAGGACCAGATTGATGGGATCGACTGAAGAGAGATGCTTTCTGGAATGGAATTGCGCAGAACGCACCAATTGGGATCGCCATGACGCTGGCTCCAACTCGAGGTGATGTGAACTTGTAGTCCTTTGACATCAAAGCACCGAGTAGCTATTACGAGTCAGCATAACTGCATGTGAATGGAGATGAACACATACCAGAATGTTCAACACCATCTGCCCATAAATCCACGCGACATACACGGCCATGACCATGAAACCGGGCTGCCGAAGCATCTTCAAGGAAAGCATAACACCGTAGTGAAATTCCTCACCCCACCACTTGGGGCCACTTTGAACCAGATGCATCTTCACCTCACCTCGAGCCAATCTGCGAGACACTTCCGGCCCATTGACGACTTCAGCAACGGATCTTCTGAAAGCAGACCGTCTAACCTCTGGACAAAGGACATTGAGAAGCATAACGAATGCAATGATGATAATACTGACGTAGAAGCCGTAGGCTGGAGGCAAGTGGTTCACGATGGCAGCACCAATCAAGAAACCAAGACCGATTGAGCCGAGGGCAGACCAAGTCCAGAGGCCAAGCCAGACACCCATTCCTCCACCATGGCGCCTAACATCGAACTCATCGACATGTTCTTGGTGAGGGTTGGTGCTCTGAAGTGAAGCGCCGAACAGATCCGTGAGCATTGATTTGAAATTCATGTTTGCGAAGCCCAGACAGAAGCCCATGGCGGCACGGGAAAGAAGGAGTCCGACTCGATAAATAGACACATAAGGAGATCTGAACGAACCGACCGCAAGCGCTTGCGGAAACAAGAGCGGCATAGCAAGAGACATTGAGCCGAGGATATACGGCTTCCGTCCATGAAGAAGAGGCAAAGGCCAGAAGAATAATGTTGGAACGGCAAGACCAATGAAGAAGAACACATTGCCGAGGACGGTGTAGTGGTGGAAATCGACGATATAATACTGAATAGCCGGCGTTTCTCCAGCATATATTCCGACAAGAATGCCAATCAGGGCAGTACTAAAACAAGCAACTGAAGCAACAAATCGTTTCCGTCCGGGTGACCAGTCCCGAGCGATGGATTGCCTCTTGTGCGATCGTGCAAGGCTGAATCCTTTGTGATGATGTTCATTCAAGCTGACGTGATTCTTCCCCCGAAGACTGAAGGCCTGACGTTTCCTTGATTTGCTTGTTTGAGGCAGGTTGCGATCGGGGTCGTCTTGCAGCTCCACTCCTGGCCCACTGCGGCTCGGCTCACCGCCGCCTCTTTGTCGAACTCCAAACCCGACATTGAAATCAACCTCTTCGGTGACTTGAGAACCATCAAAGCTTTGACCGCAGTCGGGCTGTGCAGGCGCGGCAGGTTGCTGCCCTTGTTCTGGAGGAGATTCCTCGTCATCGTCCTCATTGACAAGTGGCATATTTTCCATGTCAATGTCTTGCCAATCAAAAGTCCCGCCTGTCTGGGCTGTCTTGCCATTTTTTAGAGTCAATAAATTTCGGCCCTGTGCTTTCTCAGCCTGCTGCCTCAAATTCTGAGAGCTTGTTCGAGGCTGGATGGGCACATTCCGATTTGCCTTTATGTAATCACGTACCTCTTGCTTGTTGGGTACAGATTTCGAGGCAAGTTTAGTCTTGACAGCTTGATACTCTTCTTCCGAATGCGCATCCTGGACACATCTACGAGATGGGGCGGTATTCCGAGGTGTGATCTTTGGTAGAGGGATGTCCTGAAACCCACTGAGATCTGGTTGAGGCTCAGTGCGAGTCTGTCTGGTCGGACTCAGTCGCTTTGGTGATCTCGCAGAGCTTTTCCGCTGCGTTCCTTCCCGACTTATTGGGGTACTGAAAGGTTCAGGATTCCTAAATTCGGGAATGGTCTCATCCAAGAATTCATCCTCGCCCAGGGTGGTGCCAGGTTCAACTGGTTTGTCTATCTTCCGCGGCTCTTCGAGCTCGGTCTCGGTGGGCCAGGACCGGGGATCAGCTGCAGTAAGATAATCGGCGCCTTCGTCAGGAGGAGACTTTGAGTTGTTATAAGGTGGCATAGATCCAGGGGGATAAGGTGTTTTTACGCGACCTGTGGGAGGCCAACCAGCTGACTTCTTCGGTGGTGTCTGGAGGGATAAGGTAAGACCCTTGCCAGGTTCCTTTAACGGCTGCACATAGAGGTCTGGATCGTCAGGGTGGTAAGATATGTCTGAATCGGAATAACTCCGTAGACTTTCATGCATGCTTGGAGCTTCCTCGGAGTCAAGAATACCAGACAGCTTCGCCTGGTAGCGGTCTCGTCCGGTTTTCAGGACTTTGGCTGCATTACCAAGAACTGCTGGTGCATATTCAGCATCTTGAGCATCGGTGGCTTGTCGTGCGATGATCAGAGCCTCGTTCATCAAATTCTCCAGATCGTTTATCGTCCTCGTAAAGTTTTCCGATGGGTCGGCTCTTTCATCACGTTTGCCTTTCACAAGCCGTCGATCTGCTTCTTCGGACTTGGGGTTGGCTTCGAGGTATAATTCAGCGGCGGGTTTCACTGGAGCAGTCTGCGACCTTGAGGGGCCTCGTAGAGCCCGTGGAGGCAAAGCAGTAAATCGAGTCTCATAAACATCATTGCCCAAGAGAAGTCCCTTGAGCCAGTGGACAGTATTTTGACGACCGTTGATCTGTTCCGAACTCGCAGAGCTACGATCGTTGCGTCGATCAAGTCCTTTCGATGAGAGAAGAAGTTTCTCTCCAGCTCTGTCTTGCTTCAATGACACCTCAGAGGATATGGAACGAAGTTGGACTCTGGTTACCAGCCGTTCGAAAGATCGTTTGCGGGAGAGGTTTGACGACATGTTCGTAGTCGATGTCTTCGTGCTAAGAACATGATTCTTTGATGAATCACGTGTAGGAATTGCATCGTATCCAAACCGAACTCCATTTCTAAAAGGTCTGGGGCGTTTCTTCCGGGTCTTCGGCTTGTCAGCTGTGACAAGAGGCACAGTATCCATTTCGTCGACCGATAAGGCAAGATTCTGCAGCCCATTGCCGTACGTTTCAACATACTCTTTTGGAGTAACGCTCATCCGGCGCATCGTTTCGGCTGGAGGATCTCCAATATTTGATAACAAATCATCCACCTGTTCCCCAGGCCCACGTATCACAGTCGACTCCGATCCTCGTATTGAGGAAGGTGGTTCATTCCAGAGAGAAGCACGGCGCAAATAATCGTCCGCACTCTTCGCTGCCTCAGCCAAAGACCTGGCAACCACTCTTCGATATGCATCTGAAGCTTTGTCCTTCTCAATTCCTGGCGGCACGGTAGTCTTGACGGCATTGCGCACAGCAACTTGGACTACATCCTGGACGGTTTCCCTGATTGTCGGAATGGAACCCCAGTAAGCCGCGTTCAATGAATCGCTCTGAGATACCGCAGCGAGTGCTTCCGTTGCCAACGCGCGATTATTGTCCGGAGGTGGAGACTGAGAAGATTTTGCGATGGTCTGTGGAGGATCAACAGCTGCCTTGGCTTTGACGATGGTGGGTGGAGGAGACTGAGGGCGTACGGGAAGAGGTTGTGCATCCACACGTGCTCCTTCTGCGCTACTTCGGACACCCTGCAGAAGATCCTCTGCATTTCGGGCACTGGCCACATGCCCGACAACCGGGGGAGCCGTCGTGGCTTGAACATCACCAAGTGTGGCCTTCCAAGGTTTGGAGACCTCAAGCCCAGTTTCTTTCGGTGGCGGGGAGTTTGCAGCATGCACACTTAAAACCATATCTGCTTCTTTTCTTCCTTTGCCAAAGTCCGTAACTGAAACACCCTCCGATGTTTGGTAATAATCAGGCAACTCCGGAAACGCTTGCTCTGGAATAGTAGAGATTGGTGAGAGTACCGGAGGTATGGGCAGACCAGTATCAACTGGTTGAGCCTCCGTTACAGAGGGTTTTAGCAAAGCATGTCGAGCTGAAGCTGACCGTCTTGAACCACCAGAGAGAATCGAGGGCGGTTTCGACTCGGGCTTTGACCTCGATGCTAGCGGTATCTCGGATTCCTTCGTGGGCATGGAATTTTTAGGAGATATGTTAGAGGACGTCCGACCTGGTGGTGAAAATGTGACTGTACGTATGGGGCTCGTATCGATTGGTGGGGGAGGGCGTCTTGGTTCCTGCTTGGAAGGGCGGGGGCTGAGTTGAGAGCCACGTCTAGACTTGTATCCTGGCAAGCTAAAATTTGTAGAGACAGTTGTAGAGAAACGATGAGGTGCAGTCTCGTTGGCAACGAGTTCCATGGATTGGGAGGCGTGAGGAAATGCATCGGAGGTCAAGGTAACGCTGCTACATATCTCTGGCTCTGAGGCCTCTTCAGAAGTACTGGTTGGAGGCTTCACAGATATCGCTGGTGCCCCCTTCCCTCCGTCACTGCCAAAACGACCACCTTGACCCTCAACATTTGGCTTCGGGATTTGCTGTGCACCAGGGTGATCTTTGGACCACACTTTGACATCCTTCAAAGAATGACCCAGTCTGGCAATGTCTTGTGCGATGCCGTCGGCAACACCCTTGAAATCCTCTGCGAGTCGACGATCATGTATAGAGTGTTGTGGATTCTGACGGCGGTGGTGCTTCCTGCATTCGAGGTGACTCGGAGGACAACCTGCAAGAAAGCAGGCAAGGTCGCCTGGCACTGCTCGAACCGTTCCACCAGGCCATCGCGGGTAGTTTGTGGTGTATTTTGACTTTGGGACATCATTCGGATCGCAGGGAGGGCAGCAGAGGAGTTCGGTCTCGTGGATCTTAGCATCGTCTTCAGGAATCGGCGGATCGATGTCCATGCACGATTTGACCTTTCTGATCACTCTCCTCTTGTCTTGTAAAACTAATTTAGGTAGTTTGAACCGGGGTTTCTTTTCGCTGGGAAAATCCGGGTCGGACTTCACAGTCGTGTGAGATTGTGTAGTGTCTTCAATGTCGACGTGAACCTTTAGATCATTCGCAGAGCTGGAGCTGCGCAAACGCGGTGCTGAGAATTTGATGCTCGGTAGACTCGCTCGAGGCGTCTTTCGAGGTTCCATTTCGATACTTGTCGCAGAGACTTTTCCGATATCTGGAGTACTCAGCCGACCAGCCTCTTGACGTGCAATCTTCGCAACGCTTTGCGCCGTGCTGAAATCGAATCCGCCAACTGTATCTTCGAGCTCGGAGCAGCGGTGATTGTGTTCGTCAGATGGGCATGGCGTTCTTGGAGGGCGATGCTCGTTTCGTGATAGGAGGAGGGAGCGGATGCGGGAGATGATGTCTTCGTCCACGCGATGGCAGCTTGAATAATCCAGCCCGGTGCTGCCGATTGTTGAGCCTCGTCGTCGCGACGAAGTCACTCCAACTGGCCCATCAACCTCTGCATTCATCGAATCGTATTAATAGAAGTAAGGGTAATAGGTATGAATGCCAGCAGAACGGTCCACTGGACAAAGAAGGGAATTTGATCAAACGAGTGACTTGGGTTGGTTATAGAACGGTGCAGAGGTGGGGATAGAGAAACAATTTTCGGGGTAGAAACGTTGAGATGTCAAACATAGATAACGAAGGAAGGAACCACTGGGTCATCAAGTCCACCGATGTCAAGACTTAGGAGTGCAGAGTGAGGAAGGTGCCACCATGATCACCTGGCCCCAAATATCTCCAACGAAGAGTTCCCAAAATCGTCTTCGTATAATACTATACCTCTATCCTGCAATTGATGCAATGTCTATATGGACATGAGCAGTCCCAGCAAATTTCGCTCGTACCCCATTGAGCCACGACTTTCATCTGATACTCCCACCGTCCTCCACCCAGCCTTTGACCAGCGTCCTCATAACGCTTAAAATCTGTGGTCCCAAGCCGGGGTTCACTCACGGATCTTCCTCATACTTCACCTTCCCCCCACTAACATCCGGATAAACCTCAAATCTCCTCTGACTATAAACCGGAATTCCCTTCCTCGTCTTCTCGATCTCCTCTCCACTCAACTCCGCATATCTATCATCTCAAGTTAGTTCAATCCGCCAAGCTCCAGCCCCTCACCCAAACTTCACAACAGTTCCCCCAAGCAACGAGGAAAGACAAAACCTACATAATCTCCTCCCCCTCCCCCGCCTCGCCCATAACCTTTCCCATCGGGTCCGCCACCAAACTATGTCCCCAGGCCTTATACCCCGCACTCTCATCTCTCGCAGGGGAACACATCGCCACATAAACCTGATTATCGACCGCGCGTCCCTGGCCTAGCAATCGCCAATGCAGCGGCCCCGTCGTGGTATTAAATGCCCCGGGGTAAACCAGCGCAAAAGCTCCCTTCCTACTCGCAACCATGGCCAACTCCGGGAAGCGCACATCATAGCAAATCGCTACCCCCACCTTGCCGAACTCCTCCAACTCCACAATCGTGACCTTGTTCCCCGGAGACAGGACCTCGCTCTCTCGAAACGTGATCCCGCCGGGTATATCGATGTCAAAAAGATGTACCTTCCTATGCGTCGCTAGCAACTCTCCTTTCCTGCCAAACGTCAAGCTCGTGTTGTACAACTTCGCTCCGTCCTCCCCGTCCTCCTGGCTCGTGGGCGCTCGCTCGGGGATCGAGCCGCCGATCAAGTACACACCCGCGTCTTTAGCCATCCCGCTCAGCGCATGGAAACTCGGACTCTGTTCTTTCGTAGGCGGGGATGGGAGGAGCGTCTCGGCGTACGTAGGGAAGAAGGAGGTGCCGTAGGGCGAGTTGAAACATTCTGGAAGCACGACTATTTGCGCGCCGGCTTCCGAGGCTTCGAGGACTTTGGCGCGGGCGTGCGTGAGGTTGGCGGGTTTGTCTTCTCCTGTATCGCGGAAAGGGAGATGGTTAGTGGGGTTGAGGGAGGGAGGGAAGGGGGGAGGGGAGGACGAACCACTTGCTAGCTGCACCAATGCAATCTTAACTGGTTTCTTCAGCAGTCCCACCATATTTGCAATGCCTCTGCCTCTGCCTCTATGTACCTCACGATACTTGAATCTTCTCGGAGTCAGAAACTGGCGAAGTGTGCGCAGGTGCAGTGTTCTGAACATGCTTTTTCGGTGTGTTTTCTCGTCCCCGTCGTCGTCAATTAGCGAGCTGGTGAAAGGTGGGGGGTTCGGCCCGAGGTGGCCCTCGTGGCGGCACCGCCTCTAAGGCTTCGGCAAACCCCTTCCGAGGCCGAGGATGGGATTTCCCGTGCCGAAGATCCGATCGAGATCCAGATTGAGGCAAATACCGATGTGGTCAGGGGTACAACGTGGCAGAGATGATGTTGCTGCCGCTGTATCAGATTGTCTCTGTGTAACCTGATTGCCTGGTTTTGCGTATTTAGCGAGCGATAGCCCGGCCTCAATTAGTATTGCAAATGCGATCTGTGGACTTGGAAGAAAGTTTCCAAGCTCTTGGTCATGATGACAAGTTGAAAGACAAGCGGTTCGAACTCTATTCTGACCCGAGAAGTTCCAAAGAACGAGAAGAAGTGAATGCAATGTATTTATGGAGTACTTCGCAATATCTGCAGTGTAATGCAGGTCTAGTGATTTCTTGGATTCCCAGTACGGATGAGCAACGCCAAAAGCACTTTTATGTCATCAGGACCTCGTCTCTCCTGTCATCATGGTATCATAGCAGCCCAGCAAATGTCTCTCCTTGCCCACCAATCCCCACCACTCCCCCACTCAACTCCCTCTCTACTGAAGAGCAACGCGAGCAAAGGTTGGCAGAATGAAGCTGGCCTCGTGGATCTTGGCATTGTAGTATCGGCAAAGCTTATCCTCCTCCTCAGGAGTCCACTTGCGCAGCGGCTTGCTAACATCACGGCTGGCATCCTTGCAGCAGACCATGAAGCCGATTTGACCAGATGGGTAGGTGGGGATGGTGGTATATGCGTATTCAACGGTTGGGAAGACCTCCTTGCAGTCCTTCTTCAACTTGGTGATCAGTGGGAGGTGCAGCCATTGGTTCTCAGCTGAGTAGCAAATTAGCCTGGTCTGTTCTTGAGTGGAGAGAGAGGATTGAAGAGCATAAAGCGTATTTGAACATCGGCCAAGGATCAAGAGAAAGAGAAAGAACCAGAGACAGGATGTCGACAGAATACATGAAAACCACGCGAACGTAGGAGACGTACAACCTTGTGTGGTGATAACTCCGCCTTCCTTGAGAGCTCCGAAGAGTAATTCAAAGTATGGCTTCTGGAACAAGCTCTCTGCTGGCCCCTCTGGATCAGACGAATCGGTAATGATAACATCGAATTCGTTCTTGTAGTCGTCCAGAAATTTGAAGCCGTCTCCCACGTGGACCTTGACCTTGGGGTGCTGGTAGCTGATGGCCATGCCAGGGAGGTATTTCTTCGAGAGGCGGATAACGGCCTACAGACGGCTCAGCTGGGAGCCACAATGGCGCTCTTGACAGCCACATACCTCATCGATATCGCACAAGACCGCCTCCTCAATGCAATCATGTTTGATGACCTCCCGCAGAACGCCGCCATCACCACCACCAATTACCAAGACCTTCTTGGGATCTGGGTGGGAGTTCATTGCCAAATGAGTAATCATCTCCTGGTATGCGAACTCGTCCCGCTCGGTGCATTGGATGACATTGTCCAAAACCAGGACGGTGCCGTAGTCGGTGGATTCGAAGATGAGCACGTCCTGGTACTTGCTCTTCTCGTGGTGGAGGACATTCTTGACTTTGAGGGTCATTGCTTGGCCAGGCCACATGTCGGAGATCTCGCGGAACCAGCCATCTATAGGAAAGCATGTCTGTTAGCCCCAATTGCCGTGGTGAAACACAGTCTCGGATAAAATCTTGAAGCTTGATTCTGCACATGCGAGCTGGAGGATTGTAGAAACAGTTTCTGGTAGAATTGTGACGCTCTGCATAGCCAACATGAGGGCGAAGAGGCGCAGTGAGTTCCATCGTGCTTCAATAGTGGAAAAAGAAATGCGAGGTATTCACGTACCCTTGATGGTGGGGTGAGTAATCTCAGACATATTGACGATTGCTGAGACAGTGGGGCTACGGAAGGGCTCCGGTGCTGTGCTGAGCTGTGCAATGCTGTGCTGCTGTGGTTGCGAGAGGGAGCAGAATGGCCAATGGTATTGTACAATTGAAGTGAAGAAAGGATGGAGAGAAAGAAGCAGCGAGGGATCGTGAAGCCAAAGCAAAAGAAGTGACGTTGGAGCTAGTGGAGGGGAAAACCGCGCAGAAATATTTTTTTTGCTTGCTTGCTTGCCTGCCCACTCAGCGTCGCTGTCCAACACCACCGCCCGCGGTCCTCGCCCAATGGCATGATCAATCAGACCAGCGAGCTCGGCACCCCCGCCACAAGCAAAAAGCAAAACCAACACCAACACCCACCCCCAACACCATACGCCAGAAACATCCCGGCGCAGTCGATCGACCAACTGCAAATCGCTGCCACGCCCGCCCGTTATCCAGCCAAGCCAGCCAGCCTGGCGCGCCAACCACCGAGGCCTTGCTGACCCGGCTTTCTACCAGTTCTCTCCCACTACTGATAGTGCTTTACTACTCCGTACGGAGTAGGGCAAACGTCAACATCCTGAACGCCTATCAGCGCCAGCTCGCGTGTTTCTTCCTCCTTGAAACCTCCCTGGCTCTCTCACTCCGCTAATTCGGCCTTGCTCCTATTAAGGTTACCGCTTCCCGAGGCCAGACCCCCCCCCGCCGTCCCTGGAATCGTTTTGGCTGGGCTCTGCTCCCGCTGCCATCCGTCCGTCCATCCATCATCTATCCTCCCTCGAGTCCCCGAGCAAGACGACCGACCTCCACTCTTGACGGCTTCGTACCTGCGACAGGACAAGCCGACGCCAAATTCTGACTGTACCTCCCCCAAGCACACGCGCAGGTACCGTACAGTAAATGGCAGAGGTATTCCATTCCGTCTACAGTAAGCCCTCGCACACGCACAGTACCACCGTCCGATAAGCAGCTGCAGTGCTGTTTCGTGTTACCTCGATACGATTCCTCCGAAGCTCCTTCCCTTCCTCGAACACCCAAAACCCTTTGCATACTTGTACAATCTCTGCTCTTCGACGGTCTAAACCGACTCCGCCGCAATCCCATCTTTCACCGACAGCTGGTCGCCTTTTGCCGTCAGTGCGCTGCAGACCCTCTTACAATTCGATCTCGACAGGCATACGCCCGAATCCCCTTTATTCCTGCATGCACCCCTCCCAAAACTGATACGAGTTGCCTTGGCACCGCCGGGTTTTGAGCTCCTTCCAAAAGCATATTCACACACGACAGAAACTTCGCTATCGTTGCTGATGCGGCGCCGATGAGATTCTTCGTACCCCCATCGCAACTGCACCACGACCAAATTCACCATGTGTTTCGGCGCCCGGGAAGATGTTGAGGCCAAGAGGAGTCGGGAGATCGATGCGCTCATTCATCGGGATGAGAAGGTAATGCAGAAGGTCGTGAAACTCTTGCTATTGGGTATGCATCTCGGTCGCCAACGTCAATACCAAAGCACATATGGCTAATCGCGAGATACAGGAGCTGGAGAGAGTGGCAAATCTACGATACTGAAGCAAATGCGATTGATCTATACCAAGGATGGATTCTCAAAGAACGAGAAGGAGGAATGGCGGGTCATCATCTTCAACAACATTCTCGATGGCCTGCGGATGACGATCGATGCTATGGAGGACTTTCGCATCCCTTTCGAGTACGAACACACCGCAGTGCGTACAATCTCCTTCTCCCCCAAGTCATCCGGCAGATGCGCCGAGCTTATGCTAACGTTCACAATCGCAGGCCCATCTCCCAGTCATCATGCAAGAAAAGGACCTTCGGCCGTACGAACCGGTCCCCGTCGAATATCTACGAGCTTTTAGGGACATGTGGAAGGATCCTGGAATCCAAAAGGCGATTGAGAGAGGCAACGAATTCGCACTACATGATAATTTGAGCTAGTAGGGATTCCACCACCTGCAAGTAATTGTGACAGAGCTAACGAGTCGAGCAGCTTCTTCGGTGATCTCGACCGATTGTTTAGCAAAGAGTTCGTTCCTACCGACCAAGATGTTCTTCGAGCACGCCTCCGTACCACTGGCATAACTGAAACCGTTTTCGATTTGGGATCTTTACAATATCGGATGTTTGATGTTGGTGGACAACGATCGGAGAGAAAGAAGTGGATTCACTGTTTCGAGAATGTCAACGCTTTGATGTTCTTGGTAGCAATCAGTGGATACGATCAATGTTTGGCAGAGGATAAAGATGGCGTAAGTAGAGCGATTGAAAATGGTAGATAAATGCTGACCCTCTGCAGAATCAAATGCAGGAAGCTCTGATGTTATGGGAGTCGATTGCCAATTCCCATTGGTTCAAAAATTCGGCTCTGATCCTTTTCCTGAATAAGATGGACATATTCAAGGTCAAGATCAAGCAAAGCCCAATCACCAAATTCGGCTTCTCCGATTTCCATGGCGATACCGGCAGCGCTGAACAAACAAGCAAATACTTTATGGACAAGTTCGTGGCTCTGAATCGAAGTCCGGGCCGGGAAGTCTACTCGCATTTCACCAATGCCACGGATACCGATCTTCTGAAAGTCACCATGTCCTCGGTCCAAGACATGATCATCCAACGAAATCTCCAGAAACTGATCCTCTAATCGACCTTCCGATGTTACGAAGATACCAGCCTTACGGATTGAATCGAAGAACGGATCAGATCTGCCAGCTCGCCTTTTGTATGTCACGCACAAATATAACGACGTCGACGACTCAGATACCCCCCATGCCCCGAATACACCTCCATCCAACACAACGCACAATTGTCACAAATCCCCTTTCCTTTTCCTGTACATCAAAATCAATCACGAAGCATATTTGATTCTCGGAGCGCTTTTGCGTCCATCTGCTGCGGGCGTACGACAAAGCGCGGTCGCCAGCAAGCAAGCGCAGTTCTGGCATTTGGGTTCTTTCCTTTTCCTTTTCTCGTTCATGAACCGCCCTACCATACGGTACATACGGGCCTTACTAATTGCACTTGCATGGGGATGGTAATTTGCTTTGGCTGGCAAGTGTTCTTAGAGGAATGAATGAGCGCATTCAGCAGACTTACTGCTAGTGATGCGAACGTCGTGTTGATAGATGAATCCGAAATGAATCCAAATCAGAAATGTAAAAAATTCATTAAAAGAAACCAATGGCATTGGATGCAAACGTTTTGAGACCTTTCATTCCTTGTAAATTTACATGGAAGAATGCACGCTCGGCCTTCGTCTGCATTGCCGTTGTATGCCGCTTGACTCAGTACCTCCGTACTTTCTGCATCCTTCTAGAAAATCTGGAATGTGGATCATCGTCATCTGGTCTCCACATTCCTCCCCACAACACCTGACTCATTCCTTCGATCCATCCAACCAAGGTCCAGCGCCTGCCTTTGGACCGGTACTCCGTGTCTCCTTCATCCCCATCGTGGTGTTGAAGTTCGATGAAAGAAAGGCAGAGCGCACGGATGATGGTGATGACGACGCTGGTGCTGTTGATGATGCAACCGTGGGGGTTTCCCTAACCTCGCTCGGTCGCACAGCCCGAATGCCTCGCGGTGGACAGCGATCGCTGGGTTGGATGAAGTTAGGTTAGGTTGCATGCCGAACTCCATTCCCAATGTGACACTGTGTCCCATGCATGCAAATCATGCTATGTTCCCTCTCGCTTCCAAACCCCGATCCGACCTAGCAAGGAACAATGGCATTTTGGAGGACTCGGGCCTGGACCTCTTCTTTGCCATCTGTTTTTTCCTTCTTTTCTTTCCTTATTGCGGCATCTTATCGTGCGTGCTTTTTCCGGGGAATGCTGGACCTTCCCCGTTCGAGCGTCATTTGCAGCCCGTCTCGTCTCGTCCCGTTCCGGCTTGCCCTCCGGGGGAAAAGCAATGTGTGGAAGGGAAGTGATGCAATCAGGACTGCCGTATGCCCGAATGCCGAGTTTGAGGAGCCCGACTGGGAAAGGAGAGGGTGCTTTGACCGCGACGAGCTGAGATGGGAGATTGAGTGAGGATTGGTGGCGGTTTGTGGCTGTGGGGATTGGTGATGTGGTTCCCCGGGCACGGACGGGCTTTTCATTGCGTGGGTGGGGAGGGGGCCTGGTTTCTGGGTGCGGACACCGGGGGGGAGCTTTGCGGATGTGGTCTTGGAAGAGACCGGGAAAGGGCAGGGGAAGGGGAGGTGGATGGAGAGAGATAGACCTTGCTTATAGAGAAGAGCAGCTCTTGCACCTCGAGGGAATTTTTGAAGAGATGTGAATTGAAGAATTGGGTAGAAGATGTTGCTTGTTTGAGAGAAGTTTGATATAATTGTGGTTTGAATTATGTTATGAAGGGAAGTGACAGGAGTTGATTCGAGGATGAAATGCGTGGTCTTTATTTCGGTGAGGAGTGGAGAGGAGAGGTTGGCGGCTAAAATGGTTCGCTAAAGCCCCTTTATGATTGTTGACGTCTTGGAATTGAGGATGGATGAGAATGGGACTTGAGATGAGAGGAAACTGCAATTCTCAAGGGGTCGGAGATGGAAGAGAAGAATGATTGAGATGATTGGATCTGTTTATATTAAATTGCATTGAATAAGGTTCGTGTGGAAGTTTTTTTAGCATAAGGAGAGCATATACTAAACTATAACAGGGATAGCTTAAATAAGCGAGGACATGTCAAGCAATACGATGGTAGCTCACCTCCGGAAGCGATAGTAGGGATTAGCTAAATAAACGAGCATATGCAGAGCTTAATAGTAAGGGATAAGCTTAAGCGATAGTAGGGAACAACTAAAACCCCCTCCAAGGGAGGAAGCGTTAGTTGGAACGGTGATATTTCCCCCCTGGAAACATGAATAGCTAGAATTATGGCTCATAGATTTGTAAACTTATAATAATAATGAGTTGCTAAAGTAGATGTATATTCGGAAGCTCAGAGAGTGCGGGCTCGTGTAGCAATGGTGCTCCTCCTTGAAATACCTTACAAAAATAACCAAAACGAGCATTCTAGCTTTCCACCTCAAGCATGCTGAGCATCTCAAATAGCCCAATCCATTCTAACAGCAAAGCATAACTCGGGGGTTGCGCATGACTTAAGTGTTGTTGCCATTCATCTCCTTAAGCCAAGCTGAATTGCATCTATCTTATCAATGTCCTAGAGTGAATCCGGACGGTGTCGATTTCATGACGCGAATCACCCGGTTATCTCAATTTCTACAAGGCTATCGCAATCTTTAAATTTTGCTTCAACATTTTTCTCATAGTCTCGCGCACTCCCCAATAAATTCTGCTGCTAATCCACTTCCTCCATCTTAAAACAACAATCGCAACTCCGTGCACAACATTGCGACACCTTGCAAGTTCCTTCCAGAACTTGTGTTCGGTGTTGATCAAGGTTGATTGCAGAGCCTTCGGTTCTTTTACGCCACACCGTTTTCGCTTTTGCGCTTCTTTCCCCGCGATTCTTGATCGATATCTTGCGATTTCTTCCTGAACAAACGTCTCATCACCCAGAAACTTCCTCTCGTAGCATAGCGATGCCTCCCAGAAATAAAAGCAATGGTTGGTCCCGCAAAACCAAGAAGAAGTCGGCCGCGCCAGGCCCAGATGTTGTCGAGCCAGGTCATGATCCCAACCTGCTGATGGCTTCACTTTCAGTTGGCTGACATTTGTTCAACAGTTGGCAAATCCCTCGCCGGTTTCCCTCCCGAACTCCGCCGCATGATCGGAGAGCACTTCGATGGCGACCCGGTCTCTTCTATTTGCCTGGGTCTCACTTGCAAGGCTTTCATGGAAGTACACAAGGAGTTTCACCATGGCCCCGTCCCCCTCAAGAGTAATACTTTCATGGCCGATGGTCGAGAGCGTACATTGATCCATTCGCTTGCCAACTGGTTCCCGAGAGATGTGGCTTATAACTGGGAAACTGGACGTTACGCCAAGCTTTCGGTACTGCAGGAGCAAGGGGGAAGATACAAGAGGGCCATGGAAGTAGATGAAAAGGGATTTGTGCAGGCGGCAGAACGAGACATGGAGAGAATAGCAGAAAGAAAGCGACCGCCGCCGATATGGATCGCCTTTGGAGGACGACGATTGGAGTCTCTTTTCAGCAATCTCCGACATGTTCTTCAACAACTCTTTCTATGAGCCTTCGAACAGCAATAGCAGTGGAACAGTAAGTTTGGGAGTAGAAGCCATTTTGTAACTCGAATTGAACAACTACTGACTTGACATTTGCATAGACTGAGCACTCGAGAGGCTGGCACCTCAAAGAGCGTGAGCGTCGTCAGATTGCACCTTCCAAAGCATCTTCAACCTTGAGAGACAATGTAGGAAATGCCATTACCATTATGGACGACGATACACCCGAAGATCCCTTTGCTGAGGAGACAGACAATCATTCTGAGGCCGACTCTGGAGACATTTAACATGCTAATTTCGACTCCGAACGTCTACCTAGTAAGTTTATTGTTTCAACTCCCTTCTAGTACATTGAAAAGCTAACAATCTATAGATGAAGCTATCGCCGCACTACCGTAAACTGCGGGTGGTGTGATCTATACCATTCCCACTGGACAGTCCCGTTCAGGAACAATGGAGTTGGGTTGGGTAGTGATAAAGGGGTGACCACAAAGCCCGGGAGAGGTTATCGTGATGAATGCAATGGTTTTATATTCCGAGTAGTTGAGCTCGAGAACAAAGTATCCAGAAAAATATCTCAAGTGCAGCTGTATCTCAGGCTATCTTCTTTGACTCGGCTATGATGATTATGCTCGGAAGCCGTTTTCAGGACAACAAAGAAACCTTGACCATATAATGGCCTTATGTCATTCCCTACATGCTCGTGTAAGCTAAGGCTCAAATTAATGGATTTTAATCTATATCAAATACATCAAACATGCCTCCCAAGGCCGCCTTTATGCCCGGGGGTGGTCCGCCACTACCGCAAAATATACGTGTTGGGGTTCACCCCAATGAAGCAGTTATTATATGGCAAAATCAAACCGTTGGGAATCCTGGTTTCCCGCGAGTAACTGCGGTTGAGCAGTCAGACATATTCACGTACCCTACTCAGGCCATCGTCATTGCCACGGATGTTGGCATGAACCGCAGAAACGAATATCCTCCAACCAAGTTCCACTTACTTGCTGGTCCGAACCTGGGAATCTGGAACAGAGCTTGCAACTATAAGTCGAGACTCAATACTGCAACAGGGATAATAATACGCTCTTCACTACTCGAGAGAAACGGCGTTACATCGGCGGTTAGGGCACCGGGTAAGTCTTCCCATTTCTAGCTCTCATAGCCTATTTTCTTCACTCGAAGACAAGCTGTAGTACAATTTCGTGTTGCCGACCCATAACACTGCGCCCGCATCTCCGAAACTTGAATGAAACACTGATAAAAAATTAGCTTTCCGAACTACGAGTCACAACTGGATTATCATGGTCAATGTGCCAACATTTGTGAACGGCCCGGCAGACCCTGTGACTGGATTTAGAGGAAACGGAGGCCAGCTCTATCAATGCTACATCCGCGCCTTTGAGGCTGCGAGGGAAAATGCGAATTACAACGTACCAGCGTCGGTCAGAGGCAACCTTCCACCAGTCGTAACTGCGGGCGGGGGATTGAACGCCGCCGCTTTACCGAGATCAATCGCCTTCAGCTTCATGGGCCCTTCACACGGTTGGGACGTGCAAGAGGCTGGCAATATCGCCATGAAGGCCATCAGAGACTCGTTCTGGACTCAACCGCCTGGCGTACCGCTTGCTGCTGGGCTAAGTCTCCCCGCTATCAACTTCAATCGTTTACGTTTCAACACTGTCTCTATTTGTGGAACATTTGTCGTGGGCGATAATCCTGACACCCCCTTACATCGTGCTCAAAAGAGAGCCCTCAGAGCCGCTTTCCGGTAAGTGTTCTTCTCTTCTTCAAAACGTGCCGCTGTTTCTTCCTTGACGCATTAAGTTGGGGGAAAACATCAACTCGAAGTCGAACTGGCTGACTTTGTCCTTAGCTGGCAGTTCCAAGGTCAAGCACGGCCGGCAGTTGCAATTCCTCCGCCTCCTCCTCTCCCGCCTCTACCACCACCCCCACCGCCAGTTGGCCCTCTTGCTAAGGTGACAAGATCGGGAAGAGGTTATTGATCCAGCAAAATTCCTGAGTTAGAATGGTTGAGGGCAAATCGACGCATGTTTGTTTTTGCTATACGAATGCTTTATAGTTCTCCTGAGCTCGGTGGAAAGTACTACTGGTTTTGAATTGGCATTATAGAAAGGAATTTCCTTCTCAAGTCATTTTCTTTCCAAGAAATAGTTACTATATAATTGAATAATTGATGAATTTTGATGTTGCAATCTGAGAAGAATGTGAGAAGTATGTTCACCTGAAAGTCCTGGTGGCGTTTGTCTCACATATCCGTTTGCACCACGCGTTTGCACTTTTCACTTTATTTGGCTTTGATTCCTCCCCTCTCCCCATTCTTGTTTCTTTGTAACACGGTCTCATTCTTTACCGCTTATCACGAGTTTTCCCCCGTGACAGTTCCTCTCGAAGTCTTTATCCTATGTAGGTTGTGTCCTTTATCAAGGAGTCTGAAAGCAGCGCTTTTCTATCGGTGACAAAGAACCTTTCAAGGATATCACAAGCTACAAGGCTACTCAACTCCCGGTCGAAGAGTTAAAGTCCCTCCCGACCCCAAGATCAATATTCAAAAATAATTCTCACAAGAATATCACATCTTCGTTACAATGGCAGGGGTCGTTCAAATTCAAGGTCCACCAGATCCTTCTCTGCCTCAAGGAAACCAAGATCCTGATCCAGGATTGCCTCCAATCCTAAGTTTCGTGCCGGGTATCCCTCCTTATCAACCTGGAACCCCCACTATTAAGTTTCTGGTAGGGAACATTTACAGGTATAAAGCCAACCTTACTCCGAATAATGTATCCAACGTAATCGTGGTTCCAACAAGGCCTGAAATGGACCGCTGTACCTACGGGTCGTTCGCAAAGAAAATCCACGGAATTGCAGGAAATACTCTCAAGATACACAACGACCATGCGCATTTTAGAGGCGACAACCCTCGTGTTTCTGTGTTGCAGCAACCAAATACGGCCTGTAAATCCCCAGGTAAGATTCTCTTCCTCTTCTGTGGGGCCAGGACGAATGAGATGATATTGTGGCTTCGCGGTTCAAGAACTCCAAGTTGTGATAGCTAATAGCCATGTTTAGTTCAGGCTCCTAACCATTCGTGGGTCGTGATGGTCAACGCTCCTACACGCTATAGAGATGGTGCCGTCCGTGGCCGGTACACAGGGAACGGTGAGGACTTGCGAGCCTCTCTTGACAACTCCCTGGCACAACTGTTACTTCCTCCCCACCACAACATACCACCTGCTGTGTTGACCAACAACCTCCCTCCAGAGATCATCACCATCATGAATGCATCGCCTCCGGCCGGTGGATACGACATCTCTATTCCGTACTTTGGACACTTGGGATACTGGATACACGACCGTTTCTCTACGATATTGATGGAGTTCATTCATCATTCGTTTTTCGACCCCAATACTCCTGCCGCCACTCGAGCGGCCAATTGCGCAGCTGTCAATTCCATCGCCATTATCATCAACAGGACTCCAAAAGCCGCTATACGTCCTGCTACGAGAGCAATGAAAGCCGCGTGGACGTAAGTGCTCGTTATTCTATTGTGCCAGTAGATGTGAAAGCAATGTATGGACTATGCTAAAACATATTAGGGCGGTTTGGCCTACCGGCTCACCACCGCTCCCACCCCCACCAGCTGGTGGTGGTGGTGGCGGCGGCGGCGGAGGGGGAGGGGGAGGGGGAGGCGGTGGAGGAGGCGGCGGAGGTGGAGGAGGTGGTGGAGGAGGTGGAGATGGTGGAGGTGGTAACGGCGGCCCTGGAACTGGACTAGGAGGGCAAGGAGGCCCAGGTACTGCTGGAGGATCCCCTGGCTCAGACTCTATGCCGCCTCCTGGAAATACCAACACAGCATTCGGAAGATCTCCAGCAGTGAAGGGAAGAACTGGAGGATCTCGTCGAAGTGGTGGGAGCGCTGAAAACGGACAATCCAGACTCATGGGAAATGTTGGTAAGCCTGGACAAGGAAAGGTTGCGAAGAAGAATGCAAGTAAAGCACGACGTGGAGGTTCGAGGGCTTGATTTCATTAGATTTTCATAGACGCGTCCAGTAGAGTCGGTCCAAGGATGGGGGTGGTATGGGGTATCAATAATGTTTGCTTTTCGTCGCAGTCATCCTTTAGCTTTCTCACAAGATTTTCTTAATACAAAACTGATTGTTTTCGCGGCATCAAGTTGAAGGACCTGGAGCAAGGGCTTCGGTTTTACATGTGCTTATAAATTGAGTTTATTTTACCACCGGATATGCTGCTCAGCTTGCCTAGATCGAATTCTGCTCTCAAGAAGGGGTTAAACTTTTGAAGTGTTGGTGGAGATCAGGGCCTAGGGGCTCGCTTAATTTTCTCAAAACGAGCAATCATCTGAACTCTATCCCTGAGTCTCGAAACTGCCCTGATTCAAGTTAAGAGACTTGAAATTCTGGACGGCCAGTATGCGGAAGTGATAGCACTCCGTCAAGCTGCGGCGCAATGCCGGCGATCGATCAACGAATTTTAGGAGAAAACGAAGAAGTACCAGGCTTCTCTAACAAATACTGGTTCAGGTTCAAAGATTAAAAATGGGCGGATGAAGATCAAGTGGGCTGTTTGCAAGAAAGATGATTTGGCTAAGTTTAAGGCGGACTTGGTTGGACATACGGAGTCCATCCAGCTTTTGCTTACGACTGTGCAGATGTGAGCTACCCTATCCAGATATCTGGTGGTTGAATTGACGAGACAAAATTTAGGAGCAATGCAGATCTCCAAGATAAAAAGCAAGAACAGCAGCAGAAAAGTCTTGCTGGTAGAGTACAGGAGGGGTACTTCAACTGTATGCAGAGACTCATAGTTGTGGTTGATCAAGGGAAACAACTTCTTGATATGACTTGATCGGTGCTGTAAGTACCACCCAGTATCTTATCAATCAAAGGTTAATTTATGCTCTTGCAGTCGCACGAATGTCAAAGCCTTCCAAGTCGTTTTGCACCTCCAGCAAATGATCACAAGAATCCCCGGACAAGTTGACCGCCAACAGCCCGTCTACATGATAGATGCATTGGGCAAAGCAAGTCCTTTCCATCTTGAGTTTGTGCGCTCCGCAGAGGTAAAGGAGAGTCCTATGCGCTGGAGACTAGCTAATATTTTCAGGCATTGGTGGCTGTCTTAAAAGTCAACTTCAGAAAACACTGTCATGGCGAAGAAAAAATCGCGAGGAGGCGACTTTGCAATCCAGGATACCGTCACGAAAGGGCACATTGATTTGAATGCCAATTGGGATCTGTGTTTCTTTCCGGGGCAGCGCGTTTTCATGACTATTATTTTCAATCGAAATTTGGTTCGTAATGCAACGTGCCCAAAATGCAATACACTCAACCCTGCAACTGTGGCTTTTGACGAAGAGGGTGATATTGATTGGTAAGATTCCGACCTTATGTGTTAACCAAAGGCTTACTTACGGCCTTGTGTAGTCTACGTTGCGGGCTAACATATCGACGTTTCTTCGAACGCTCTGAAATTAAGAGCATCACTAGCACCGCTAAGGCCGCACACAGGATTGAAGAACTAAATGCAATAAAACCCAAGACATTTGGGCATCCCGAGGCAGCCCTTAAGCGAAAGAGAAACGAGGACGAAGTTGAGGATTTTCGACATGTAAGGCTCCGCGATCGACCGCTTGAATCCGATCGGAACAGTCCGGAAAGCCCACAAGGAAGAGGTTCTCTCAGGGTTGACAAGTAAATCAAGCTATCGGTTGACGATAGATTTGGCTACCTTGCAAGCTACTGTACTTATCCCTCCTCACAAACCATCAATTGATCAACATCCTCTTCCCCAATTATCTGGGTCGCCAGTCTCCCCCAAGTGAGGAAAACAGTAGTGAGAAGCGCAGGAGGTTAAATTCGTTTAAGTGTAGGCAATGTATTGAAAGTGACGTTACTACACGTCAGCTTAGAAGGGTTCAACTAGCCCCAACCGTCCAAAATAGCGCGCTATTTTGGGAAAATCGTAATTTAATAACCACATAATTGTTGGGAACATGGGAGGAGGATGACGTAAGCCTCACCACTAAAAGTAGAATTCCCCATAGATACAATACAATCATCTTTGAAAACTCAACACATTCCTCACAGTAAAAATTAGTAGGGAAATGCCGAAAATACTATATTATAAGTAATTTTAGCAATACCACGTAATCTTAAAGTAATATATAGCTATCAGGGGATTAAGAACACAATGAAATATTAGTGTTTAGTAGGAATTATACTTATTTTAAGATGCTAATTAAATATTACGGTTTTTTGGTTGGGCGGTTGGCCAGTGAACCCTTCTACCAATTTCTCAATTTCTGTATGTCAGCTGATTTGTCATATGGGTGTTACCTGACAAATCACGTTACTATGTATATATGTGCCCTCAAGTCCTTGACTTGGAGGGCCAACTGCTACTGTCAATAAATCTCCAACCAAACACAATGTCGTAATGCCCGTAAGAGAGTAAGATACAAAGGTCTAATAACTTCCCGCAAAAATTAATAGGCTAACAAGTGAAGTACTTCCCTTTAGATCGAGTTTGACCACAGAAATGGGATCGTTGCCTGGCACACCGACCAGAGCCGCTTAGATGCACAGAGCCTGAGCTGAATACAAAAAAAAGAGGTCGATCCCGAGAAAGAATAGCCGGACCTGCAGAATATGAGAGACCGACTAAACGTCCAGACTCTGTTCATTCTGAGTCCGGACCCAGATCCTGATCCTCATCAATCTCAGCAGGATTTGAATGTGAACCTAGCTCTGAGTGGTGATTTTGATTTGGCCTTCGGGGAACGACTTTACTAAATTATATGCGCATGCTATGAGCGGGGAGGCCTTCAACAAAAATGAATTTTTTCTTGAGTGCAATACGCTCTTTGAACAGTGTAATTTTCAAGAGTATCTATTCATCTTAATCACTTTGTGATCTGTGTTTAAAATAACAATGATCGTTCCATTTTGAGATTCAATTGAAATTTTCGCTTGCACCATTTGAACAAAGGCTATTTACGTCAGACTCGTCCTTTTTAAGGTTCACCCCGTTCTGGTAAGCTGCCGAGGAAAGGCGGCAGCATACAGCCAAATAAAGAAAAGATAGCCCTATCTATCTATAAAACTGATCCAGAACACGTATTTTACTTTCCTGGTTTCTCAACAACTCGTTTTAACAATTGTACTCGGAAAGATATACTGCAAAGAACGCCCAACACGTCGGAACGGTCTGTCATATGGATCAAGGCTGGAGATGGCGATTTTGCCGAATTGCCCTTAGACTCCTGCATGGATGTAAATCTGGGGAATAGATACGGGAGGAGAGCTGAAGAAACGCTATCTTAGCTCGGCTTCTTGCTGCACTGCCAAAACATCAGGGTATCCCTTGGCGTAGCACATCCGTATATGCGAGCTTAGTTCGCAAGAAAACAATTCGGGGAAGGAAAGGGTTGGGAAGAGCAAACATTCCGGTAGGGGAACAGATATACCGAAGCAAACTCAGTTGATGAAGACACTCATTGCATCTCTTCGGCCCGTTCTCAAGCGCTTCAGTGAAGTTGTTTGAATGAGCCGTTACATCATTCCGTACAAGCCCTACAACAAGGTTCTCAACAACCCCTCGAGGAAATTGCGTAAGTCGTTACTGCGCCTCGAGAATCAAGAAACCCAGAGGGAAACCAATGATCTTCCAGTTGTGAGCTGCACCGCGCTCCCAAGGTGTCGGTGTGCCGTATTTTTCACCAAACATCGTAATGCACTTCGCGTTGTATGTTGTAGGGAACGATCCTAGCTCCCAGGTTTTGTCGAGGAGGAACTTATCATAAGGTACCTGTTGTTCGGGTGAGTATTGTGTTCGATGGTACAACAGACTCAAAAACCTGGTCGGGTCATTCATCAGAGCTTCTGGGTTGACGTATGGCAGCAAGCAGACATTCCGGTAAGCTCGACGGCCTCGGCCTTAGGTTGCATTATAATCCGGGTTTGCTGCGACACGGAGTGCCTGAGCTTTCGGTAGAAACTCCTGAGAGACATACGCAGTCTCTGTGGACGATTATGTGAGTGTGTGTTGGACCAAGTTTTTTATTGTACCGTGAGTACCTGGAACATCACGACAACGCGAAGAGGCTCGCCCTAGAGCCTCCATCGAGGTCTAGTCCTTTAGTTCCCACACCATGGCGTCACAAGGGACCTTTGAATGAACTCAGGCGCCGCTGTACAATTTACCTTGATAGCCGTGAGCGCGGAGACGTCGAATCCTCATCCAGACCTGCGTTGGGGAAGTTTAAAACTCCATCAGTGGGATCGGAAGTCTATACATTCTAGATAAGCGAGGCGGCAAGCTGCGTTCGCTTTTGCTGCTGTGTTCAGTGTACCGATGCAAGATAGCTCGTTGTTGAGGTGGATCTCTTGAGGCCAATGCAAGCTCCCAGCAGCACGTGTCACAATGTACTCCCATCACCAATCAACCCCATTCCCAAGCTACATGGCCAATCTACAACTCCATCTCATCTTCCCGTGCCCATGGTACAGTATCAAGGTTGAGCTCGAACAATTTCCTGGATTCGCCATTGACCCACTCGAAGTCTCTCTAAAGCTTCCGAGTCGTCTGCACGGTTCAGCGGTGGGCCCGTACCTCTGCCGAGGCTTGGAGAACGCAACGCATTGCATTGAAATTCCTTTCAAGACAGAAGAAGAGTTTCTGTCCAAATACTCGATTGAAGCTTTTCCAGCTGGGCTGGGATATTGGGAGGCTGACCGCAGGCTGAAGTTCCTTTAAGGTTCGTTGCATGGGTGACGTCGGACCGCTTTTAGCGAGTCGGGGGATGTTGCAGATGCCTCTTTTTTTTTGTTTTTTTGGGGAGCGCATCACAATATCACGAATTCCCCTTCCACACAAAGTCGAGAAGCTGAAAAGTGAGATTATTTCACCGGCGCAAGATTCAATTTAGGATCGAAAGTGGCTTGCTCCTCATCTCAACTGATTATCATCATAATTACTACTTTGGTATATCGCTATCGCCCGAAAAAGAAAAAAGCAAAGTGCCGAAACCCCCTGAAAATTGAATCACTTTCATTTATGTCCCGTCCCTTGGCACACAGGCACGCGACACCCGCCCCTTTCCATCGGCCCACCAGCACCACCACAACACGCGATCGCACCACTACTCTACAAGACCAAGAAAGTAAGAGCAGTCAGAAGCCCCGCACCACCAAACGCCTTTAGCGCATTCCCAGAGTTAGCCTTCTTGGTCGCGCTGACGGTCGTCGTGGACCCCGTGGGGCTGGGGCTGTTCCCCCCTGTTGTCGTCGAAGCAGCAGAAGACGAGATCTTGCCGGCCTTGAAGAACGGACTCTCGGCCAGCACGCCCTCCGTCGTGCTGTTGTACGCGCCGTAGAACCAGATCTGGTACGTATCGTTGACGGTCAAGCCACTAGGCGGCTGCATCACGTATTTCAGGTCGGCGGTCGAGACGTCCGAGGCGATGGTCGTGGAGGAGACGGGCGTCATCAGGTCGGTGGCACCGGCGGCGGGAGGGACGACCAATGCGATTTTCGAGATCGTTTTCGCGTCTTGCGAGGAGTCAGTGATCCAGGTTATGGTTTGCGCGACGGAGAGGTCGATTGACGGCGTTCCGGTCACGCCGGTGATGTTGGGGAAGGTTATTTGGATTGCTGAACGGCGTTAGTAAGGGGTAAGAGGTATGGAAGGGTGTTCTCCTACCAGAGACCGAGGCTGCGAGAGCGACGAGAGGAACGAAGATTGAGGAACGCATCTTGATTATGGAGCAAGGATTATTAATTGAGAATAGAGGAAATAGCGAGTGTTGGTGAGAGGATGACGATTAGAAGTGAAGTGTTGACGAAGTTGAGCCTTGGGGATGTCCGACGAAAAGGAAAATAGAAAGGCAGATCGATGGGACCGTCGAATTTATGTGAAACCACTTTGGAGGCCCGAGTTCGCTGCCAGCTCCGGCGAGCTGCAGAATTGGGCTGACAGCCTTACGGCAATCTTAATTTTGATTGAGTGTTATTTTCGGATCCAAGACACGAGGACTGGCTGACTGGGACGGGTGAGCCTCAGCCTCCGGCTGAATCCCCTCAGTCCCGCAATTTTGCGGCTGTGCTGTTCGGCAAGGGCCTGCGGCCGCCAGCCCTAATCATTTTGACGGAGAACTTTGAGTTGATTGAAATTGATGTTATGAAGACATTGATTAGACGCAGAACCGTTTTTGACAAAAAGGAGTTCGTGGCAGACAGCTAATTTGAAGATATAGCAATCAGATCCACATCCTCGTATCCAGGCTGAAACCTCTCCACTGCCAACGCCGCGCGCTCTCGCCTAGCAGCCCGTACTCGTATGGCTGCTCAGCGCCATGCACGCAAGATGCCGCAGGTTCAAAACAATTGCTTTTCAGGCATCAAAGGCAAGGCACGCTAAGAAAACAACCAAAAACCCCACCTGTAATAGGCTAGGTGGGGACACCAAGCAGGCCAGCTTGGGCTTCCATCCTGAGCGGAGAGGGGCGCACGTCTCGGCGGTCTTACTAGCAGGTGAGGTGTGAGGTAAGGTCGGCGTAGTGCTGACTCAGGCTGGCTGCCGTTTTTATTACGTGTGGGGGTTAATGTAGCCACATTCAGGACCTACTGTAATTTCATCAAATTGGCGAAGGCCGACACAGCTGTAGGCTGCGAATTTGACAAAACCGGCCCAAATTGACCCAATTTCACTCAGTCAAAAAAGTCTACTACCTCTACCCGTTTATTCCCTCCACTAGTCGCCACTGGTTGTTCGTGAAAGCGGCTAGGCCGTACTAGCGACTGGGCCAAGTATTTCACATAGTAAATTTGAGCAAGAGGTACTTCAAGCTAGCTGCTCCTAGCTGGTCCGTGCCATGATTTAGCGAAGATCCCCAATTTTGGGGTGGCGTGGCACAGTTGCTAGTATGGACCAATCGCTTTCACGAACCACCAGTGGTACTGGTGGAAGGTACGAACGGGGAAAGGTCATTTCATCGAATATCAAGCAATGTCGCGCCAGCAAAACGTGCGTTACCGCGTCCCTTAATGCGAGCTTAGTAACTGTAAGTAATAGTAGGATAAAAATAATATTGTTACAATCGTCGTCTCTCTGCTATCCCATCCGGCTCCGTTGCAACCTTCAAAAGACAGTGGAGTAGGAGCGTAATTAAGGTTGCCATCGGCGGAGGAGCAAAAAGCACACTTTACGCGTGCGCACGCGACAATAATTGTGCTACAGTACCAATAAAGTCCAAATTGAAAATTGATCCCAAATTTTCACAGAATATTGGACAGCGCTACCCGTTCGTACCTCCCACCAGTTACCACTGGGGTTTCATGAGAGCGACTGGGCGGCTGAGCCACCCCCCAAATTGGTGTTCCTCGCTAAATTTGTAGCACAGACCAGCACAGACCAGCTGGCTAGAGGTACTGTACCTCCCATACAAATTTACTATGTGAAATACTTGGCCCAGTCGCTCTCATGAACCACCAGTGGTAACTGGTGGGAGGTACGAACGGGTATTTAAATTCAATAGGGGAGCGCAATTAAATTGTGCAGACATGTTTTTCGCGTTTCCCAAGAGGTTAGGAGGTCCCACTTAAAATGCTCCACAGGGCGCAGTGAAGCGTGGGGACAGGGAGTTAGAACATGGCTACATGGCCCCCAAAAGCTGGAACCGAGCCGGATGAGATAATCCATAAATTTCTTGGATTTTCTCTAAAGAGCTTGATATTTTGACTTGAAAATGAAAAATGCTGCGTAGCGAGATTAAGGACCACATTACTAGAGTGAAATCGACATCGCTCATATGACCAACGGTCCTCAAATGGGCTCACATCCAATTGCACCAAATTGGCGAAACGGACGGAGCCCTGGACTTGCGACTCAGATCAATTTTCCAATCGGCGCAGGGAGCGTTTATAAAGACCAGCTGATTTCTCCATGACTAATGATCTTATCAGATTGGTGTCGATTGTGCAGAGTTGAAGTTCTGTTAAGGTTAAGTTTGGGGGTTGTCGCGCAGGTTTAGCGTTCTTGGCGTCAACCTCATCGATTCACTTTTGCTTTTTCCCTTGTCAGTTCGAAACGATTACAAGATTTGAGCAACTGCAATTGGCTTCAAAGATGTGTGCATTTGGTATCATGGTACAAAAAAGGGGACTATTATGTGAATCTTCTGCGATCCATTCTGGTATCTCGTGATGCAAGCGCTGGCCGACACGGCAGAAAATCACAAGGTTTCAAGGAAATCAATCTCTGTGCCGATCAATCAGGACGCCGCAAAACGCCCCTGCTGAAAAGAGACCCCCAATTTCCGCCCGCGGCATCTGATCTCCTGCTCCCATCCATTCTTATCTCTTTGACGTGAATTTCGGCTGGAGAGGGGTTGAGAGATCTAGTATCTGTTCCGGCGCTGCCAGAAGTGTCTCCTGCGGGTCGTCGTGGTTCCATTGTATCCAGCCTCCTTGCTCGAGTGGCGGTCCTGTCGGTGCATTCTCGACGAGAAGCAAGTGAACAGCACGATGAAGGTCGCGAAGAACAGAATGACCATGGCCGCAAGAATCGTCCACATGCCGGTGCTGAACACGGCGTGGCTTCCGCTTCCATCGCCGTTGACGTGGCGCTTGATGATGCCGAAAAGCACGAAATCCGTCACCATGACCACGAGTGTAATGAGCCAGGCCACGGCGGCGACCATTGCTGCGAAGATCGCGCCGCAGACTCCAGAGCCGAGCGCGAGGAGGAACGCGATGAATGCGACGCCGCAGGCGATCGGGTGGAGGATCATGACACGCGTGAGCGCCTTCGAGGTATCGGTAGCGGCTGTCGTGAAAGTGGTCTGATCGATTTGGCTCATGATTTCCGCTGGGTTATAGCCAATATGCTTGGGGTAGCAGAAATCTTGATCGGTTCTGTTTGACAGGAGACTGTCAGCTATGCGCAAGTGTGAGTGTGGTGCAATGAGGACTTACTGGACGGGAGCCACATCGAGGATGCAGTGGCCAAAAGTTCCGAATGTGACGGAGGAGTTGCGGAGATCAGTCTTGTTGGTGAGCGTCACTTTCAGGATGGCGATGTCTCCCACAACAGGCGCCGAGATCGTGGTGATGAGGAGCAGAATCGCTGCTACGAAGAGCAGGAAGGTGCCGACATGATGGAAGATGCCCGTCTTCGCCATTTTGACCTGTGTTGTTGATCTGACTTGGATTTGTTTATTGGTAGTTTGTGTCTGGATGCGAGAGATGTCGACTACTTCAAAGTTGCTTTTGAGGGTGGGCAGGTGAACGGGGAAGCAGAATAGCAGTCGTGCAGAAGGGGTGTGGCCAGGTTTTATTTAAACGTTTCAAGTGGTGTGAAAAGGATCGTGTGTTGTTCCCGGATTGTCACAGCTGAATCGGCAGCCACAAAAGCAAGGAATGTGATCCCGTTTTGTTCCTGATTCGTCATTGGCGCCTTCAAGTCGTGTCGACCCCTGCAGTCGACCCCAGACTGAACGCTCGAGTGTCGTGGCTCAGCCCTGGCCGACGTTCGCCAACAAGCTTTTTGTTTCATTTTTGGGCCTCCTGCATCCTGAAGTGTTTATCCATCGAACCTGACACTTCGAGGGGTTTTTCTAATCAATTCAGTCGGCCTTTGCGCAAAGTGAAGTTGGTGATATTTTGGAAATGCTGCAAAGTGGACTGAGCCACAGTTTATCGTGCAAGATTTCAGCCCTTGACAGGATCATCAGGTGACGATCACCAGGGTTACCGAAGTTGGCAGGCAACTTTAATTCCTGGTGTCCCACAGTGACGTATGGCTTCTGTGGCTCAGCTCCCCGCTTGTTCTTCCATTGGAACGGGAATTGAAGAAAATCCCAGATTTGGATCATGAAAATGGAGCCTTCCTGCCTGCCTGCCGCGCAAGAGAAGTGCGGCGAGAGTATGGGGTGGCGATGACGGCACTGGCAGGGGCCCCTCTCTGTCCGATTAGACAACGGGTAAGATCTCTGTCGCAGCCTCGCAGCTTGCAGCACCCGTGTCGTCTCACGTTTTACCTGCCCCCCTTTTCACGCTTTTGCGCTAACACGGATGCTAACGACATGGATGACAAAGATGTCCTGGAGAGGTTGCTGGAGGTATTGAACCGGATTGATGGACGCTTGAAATCGATCGAGTCCAGTGTTGCGACGACCAAGGCAGCAGCCCCTGGTCAGGTCGAGGAGGGCACAGCTCTACCTCAGGGAGGGAACGGCCCACGAGTGCTCGCAGAGTCAGCTAACAGCGTCAAGGATGGACGTGACTTGGAAAGAGTTGCGTCTGCCGTCGAAGAAGACCCCGTCGCACACAATGCTTCGTCGCAAAAGGGGAAAGGGATAGAGAGACCAACCCAGCCAGAGACCGTCCTCAAGCCCAGCAGCAGTACAGAACCTAGCAAAGATGTCCAGACCCTAGATATCTCCCCCACAGCGCCTATATTTGTTCCTCAAGTGGAGCCACATGGAGAGAGCTCATCAAGTATCCAGACCCAGATCATCTCTCCTACAGCGCCCACTACCGACACAAGTCCTTAATCCGAGCAACATGGAGGAGGCTCGTCAACAGCTTCAGATATTGGAATCCATCCCCAAGACCAGACAGGCCGGGGTAATGATGGCCTGAACGATTATTATTTCAAAATGCCGGCCCAGGATTGGGTAGACCTCGCGAAAGATGAGTCTGGACAACCTCGCAACTCAACGCCCGAAATGGAAGCCTTATGGGCTGAACTTTTTGGCATTTTTTGGGCCATACCTCCCGATAATCGAGTCGACCTCGCCTTTCAGAAACATGTCCTTTTATCACTTCCACACGAAAAGGAAGAGGCTATTGCCCGAAGTATTGGACAATGCTTCAGTGACAGGAGCTGGTGGGACAATTTGTCCTTCTCGATCACTGATTTTGGAAATGAAGGCGTGAGGGTAACTTACCAGTAGCCAGAGACGCATATACAGCAAGAAGACATTGGGTTTTATGCAAGGCTTGGGATGTTAATTGCAACGCCGACTTTTGAGATTAATGAATCCCACACAGAGGGAGTGAAACGGGTATTGCGAGACGAATGTGGGGCTTCATGGAATAGAGTAATGTGAGTGTTCGTCTATCAACAGAATACTGGCAGTATTCAAATAACATTATGTCGCCAGAACTGACTTGTGCAAAGACACCTTCAAGGTCTTACTTTGCCCGCAACTGGCCAAGAGACAAGAGTGGATCTTGGAAATGTAATCATGCATTTACATGAGAAAGCTCCTCTCTTTCCAGTATTGAAATCAGAACCGGGAGGAACACAGAGGAGTAGCCTGAATTTTATGGTACTGGAACGTACAGACAAACATTTGATGGGCTCGTTTTCCAACCCTGATCAACGTGCCTTGACCCTTGATACTGGGCTAAGGCACCACAATCTCGATCTGGAATCATACCACTCTATAAATTTCCAAGTCGTATCTTATGAAATTTGCAAGGAACCCCCAAAAGGTGGATCGCGTGGGCCAGGAACCACTGGTCGGCTCTACAATGATGGACCATGCATTCAATCACAAGTGGTCTCGGTAAGTGACCTAATAATTTACAAACTCACCCAGGCTAACATGTCCAGCTTTGTTTTGTATCTCAAGTTATTTGCCATTCTCGACCCAAGAAACCTCCGCGTTTCTGGACACTTGTCGCCCTCACTTCAAGTGGCAATATTGAGCTGCCGTCTATTTTCGGGCTCCATAATTGTGACGTGCTTCAAGGGATGCTTCTTTTCGTTGGCGGGGTTCTTGCCAATTTAATAAATACATGGGGAGAGCTTGTGGACTATTTTGACAGCTTCCTAGATGACGGGAGAACCTTCCTGACAGCGAAGGAGCACGACAACCTCCTCGTCGATGATGAGAACTTCTCACGATCACGAAAGTACTTTTGGAGTCTCAGCTGCCTGTCAGAGTTTATGCTTTACATCAATGACGCCATTCGTCAATGGGAGGCCAGCAGAGATATATGGGTAGTAAAATTCGACGACTTTCTAACAGGGGAGTCGAAAAACACCATTGAGGATAACAACAAACTTTGTGAAAAGCTGAAGGCTCTACGGGACCGCATGCAACATCACCATACCAATGTTACCGCATTACGAGACGGTCTTTTCAATGCCAGCGCCGTCATGGAAAGTCGAGCATCCACAAGACTAGGAGGTTAGACCACCTACCCTCCTCCCTCAATTTCCCAAATATTCAATATACTTACTTACTCCCCACAGAGAACGTAAAGCTCCTCAAATTCGTCAGCATCTTCTTCCTCCCTCTCGCCTTCTGCACCTCCCTCTGGAGCATGAGCGAGACCCTCTTCCCCCTCCACATCCTGATCTACGTCATCATCTTCGTCGCCCTCGCCACGTACCTTGTTGTCTTCAATCTCAACACCCTCGTCAGACTCTTCTCTCGTACTTACGAATCATATAAGATTTCGTTGATCACGAAAATGAAGTCTGAAAAGGAATCGGAGTATTGGAAGAAGAGGGGAGACAGGTTTGAGAACTTCCAGTTTCGTCCAAAGGCGGAGGTTGCGAAGCCGAGTGAGTGGTTGCTTGTTGGGTATGCGCTGATGAGGGCTGAGAGATGGGTAGGAGAGGGGTTGATGAGAGGACTGAGCCTGGGGAGGAAGGAGCGCAGTGAAGGGGAAGAGGAGGTTACCGCCCGGCCAGCCGAGGAAGATGGGGGTCAGGGAATGCCGGGCACAGCGAAGAAAGGACTTTTTAAAAGGATGGGTAGGGTTGGAAGAAGATCTGGGAACGGGGCAGCTGACGAGACTGCCATGCCTTGAAAGTTTCGGCGGCTTGAGAAGTTGGTTTCTTATCTGATGGCTGAACTTGAAACGCTGGGTGCGTGGCAGCGGGTTTGTTTTGCCCTCGTGAGCGTTCCGATTAGCTTGGGCTTGCCCGAGACTCAACCCGCTTTCCGGAAGAGTTAAGGTGTTGCGCTGCGAGAAGGCAAACTACTGCAGGTCAGAGACATAGGGTTCAAAAGCACGCATGGCGACGAGGCAGGAGTTCAAATTGTGTGATGTTACTTCGGGTCTAGGAAAAGGAATAAAATGCTGGAAGGAGTCGAGCCATCAAGTAGCGAAGAGACAAGAGCTCGGATGCTTCAGGTTGGAAGGTCGTCGAATTGAACTGAGGTAAGAGTTCAGGATACTCGAGCCCGATGAATGAGATGGTTGAAAGCGTTTGAACGGAGCTGCGCCAGGAGTTCTAGATGCTTCGGTTAATACGTTTCTCAGAATTAAGTGTAAAAATCTGTAGAGTTTCATTTTCTGGAAGGTCTGAAAAGAACAGATGATGCGTTTAGAGAAGAACCGAGACTTGGAAAGTCCCTTCGAACGGAGACGAGGCAGGAGCTGGAAGAACGTTCAAGCACTTTAATTACAGAAGTTAGAGGGATGAAATCTATTGAGTTGACGTTTGTGGAAGAGACTTGGAGAACGGGCAGATGAATGAATGCATTTGGTTGAATAGAGGGGCGGAGTTCCAATCCACCCCCCAGTTCACACACTTCAGAGCCCTCTCTCTGCGGGAACTGTTGCTCCCAAAATTACTGGCAATATTCAAGGCTGAGTAGAACCACCGCTTCACACATCTTGAAAATTGGCCCGCTTGGGTCAAAAAGTACACACATCACAACGGCGGGATGATTGAGGCTCTTTGGCGTCCAGCACGGGAGGTACAAGGCTGTTTGAAGTTCCCGAGGATCGGCTCCCCGTTTCAGTTCGACGTGCATACTGAAGAAGCAAGCTTCCCCACCATATTGACCTGACCAATCTTCGCCTCGAATGATCCATGACCATCCCTCCCTTATCGGTGCCATATATAGCCTGATCTGCTCGAAATCGCCTATCGCCCTCCCCCACACACGCCGCGACCAGCCCTATTCTGGAGAAAGAAATACAAGGCATCTGAGGCAAAAATGTCTCGTGCTGTCAGTTTTGTTCTCAAAAGATCTGACCCACCTTGTACATCCTCTTGCTAGGAGGGAGCCACTGCAGACCCTAGCCACCTTGCGACTTAGAGGCCCGAATTTGTCGCGACCTCTCCGCGATTGCACTGGCTACACCGCTGGGGCAACGAAACCTCTACCCAAATATTTGCTGCCCAAAATACTAGAGACCAACGATTCTTGCGGGTCAAGCCGGACGTGACACAATCACTGGACCGACGTCGTTACCACTGGCTCGTTCCCGGGATCAGGCTTGTTCCCTGAAGCCTGCCTTGCAGTGTGCCTCACGTTTTCGCAGCTTTGAGGGTCCTGGGCTGCATAAGGACCAGAGTCATAACGCAGTGTCTTGACTTACTTTGGGAGCGATCATGGAAAGAAAATAGAGCTTGTCTTTGATGCTCACTTCGCCCTGCCCCTTGATGGTTACAGCCTGCTCCTTGCGCCGGATCCGTCATGTCATCGAGAAAACATGGTCGAAGCAAGGCCAAGGAAAGTCGAGGAGTGCCGACGCAATGGAGTCAATGGGAATGGACTGCGACGTATCGCTGTTACACTAGATATCGTTTAGGCGCGGATGGTAAGATCCTTAGAGGGAAGAGGCTCACTGGGCTTGAAGCGTCGCTGACGTGAAGAAAGGCCAGTACGAATACGAATATGATTATTCGAACACGAACGATGCATCACGGCCCTCCTCCAGCTATCCATCGAGTGCAGTGGTCGCCCAGCAGACCTCTGTCGAAGACTTGAATGCACGATGCCAAGGGTTGGATTTGGGAACAGGCCATGAGAGGGGCCGTGAAAAGGTTGTACTGCCGATACCAAGATATAATCGTTCGTTAAGCCAGGGGCTTGATGTTTCAAGGCCCGTTGTGCTAGATTTGAGTAGATCTAAGCAGGTTAATCTGACAAGACGCTGACCTCGGAGTGATTTTAGTCGCGAGGAGATGAGCCGCGAGACCCTTCCGTCTCCCCGAGTAGGCCAGTTAAACCAGTCAGTCGAGCGCGCTGGGTAGACGACAAGAGCTAACCCGGGTCCGCTGCAGGGACCAGATCCCCCTCCATTCCCTATACCCGAAAGTTCGAGCTCTGCATACGATTCACCGGCGGGATATTACCAAGCACCACCGATAGCCTCGACTTCGCCGACTTCTTTCCCTTATTCGAATGTCCCGACAGGGCAATATGATTCTGCTCATAGAGGAGAATACCGAAGATCACAGGAATCGACTAGCTTGCAAGGCTACCGACCAGAGGTCAGTCAGCTGCACACTTCAGCTATTTGGCAGGTATGGAAGCTTACGATCTGCAGGAGTTTCAAGTTACAATAAGAAAGAAGCCATTTATAGCAACGATAAGTTCCTCAAACGACAGCTTCATTTCTTCGGAAACGGTAGATTACTTAAGGTTGAAGACAGACAGAATAAAGCAGCCTTGGAAGTACAGGCATCCTGGTTCTGGAAAAGAGTACGATATTCGCGAGAGTGTCAGAATAAATATTGAGCCTATGGGCGGAGCAAAGTTGAAGGACGTGCAGCTATACGTCCTCTCGAAGAGATGTCCCATCAAGAATCCGGTCGTTCTTGGAACGGACATACTGGGCACAGCCGAATACGCAGCGTCAGACTTCCCTTCTTCTGATTCTGGATATGGAACCGCAGGTTCAAGACGGCCATCGTTCAATCAGACTGCCGTAGCTTATCATTCCGCAACTCACACTGCAGACCAACCAAGCTATTCATCGCCATCGCCTCCATACCATCAGCCAATATATCCTCAGAGCATCCCCAGCGTACCAAGCTTATCGTACTCGACCTCATCATATTCGACGGAAGAAGAAAGAACATCGTCTTATGGAAGTTCCCAGTCTTACTACCCACCTCATAACACCTCCGCAGAAACAACAATAAGCCGAGACTCGGGATTTTCGACTTTCGGCTCTGGTGGCCACCTAGGCGCGGTAGGTGCGTCCGGATCTGGGGAACGAGGAATGGAAGATAATCTCCCCGGTGACAATGACAACTACACCTTGCATTCCAATTCCTACACATCAGCCTCAGCATATATCCCTCGACCTCCTTCCGGTGATGAGCCTAAGAATGTATATTCTTCTGCGTCAGACGACACTGTATACGCCGACTACGTCGCACGCTGAAAATTGTATCAATCGACAAAAAAGTACCTCTGCCTTGGTCACACTGTAGCTTGGCCAGAGAGGATAATGAAATGGACAGTAATGTATTCATGGAGGCGGTTTCTTGCATATTCTGGCGTCCGCAACATATTCTCCTTTGGAGTAATTTGAGTTTCTTTTGAACGGAAATTTTCGTTTTGTGTAAAATACCGCAGACGGGATTGGCCTTTGCCGGGCGCATCTCATGTCTGATGATCCCGAGGCGGAGAAATTTTATTCCCGAGAGCCTTTTGGATGGTACAGGTGATCTCGAAGCTTTTAATGCAATGGTGTGAAGAAATTTTATGAGGCATAATGATGGCAGAGCTTCTTTCCCCTTCCCTGCTGCTTGACTCGGGAATCAATTACCATTTCGTCTTCTGAGGCTGATGTGGAGGCGAGGGGTATTGGCCCGCTGTGGAGCGTCGATTAAGCCCTATTGAGCAACCCCTGTACGCCCATTTCAAGGGAGTAATTTAGACCTCCTTCGATAAATATGCAAGGCTTCCCACAGCTCGCAGCATCCAACGAGCCTGTGACAGCACACTGAAGTCCGCCTCGCCGTGCCTCCTCCTCCTACAATGCGCACAGTATACAAGTTTGCTTCCACACGGGTACGTGCCGATCGTGACACACACTCCACTGTTCGAATCGCAGCATGGCCAATTCAGCGCTGATCCATCTCAGAACTCCTAGCTATGCGCCAGATCGTGTTGAATCCCCGAGACCCATCGCACGCCCACAGCTGGCTCACCGACACCACTATATACACGACTCGGATGAAGGGCTAGGAAGCCTTGAAAGCCAGGATAGTAGTCGAGATTCAAGTAGGCTACAGTGCCCGTGCAATGCGCATCGGCATGTAACACTGTGCTGATACCAGCAGAAACCCAGCGTCCCTTACGGCACTTGTGGAAAACGCCTTTCAGGATGAGTATTTTTTCCGACAAACGGTCAAGAATCAAAGACAATCGGGACGACAGGATAGTCAAGAAAAGAAGTAAGAGGAGCAACCATACCTGGCGTCAAACAGGTTTCAAGATAGAATCTTCTACTTACTATAAATGTGGACTTTCAGTAGATCGATACCCCGAAGGTTACCCTCGAATATCCGCCTACATTGACAGCGACTATGATACGGCCTTATTTCGACGATTCGGCACGCTTCACGCTCGAAGCCTCCTTTACAAACAAGTCGAGCTTACCGAGCTTGAAGCACAACTGGACAAACTTGACAAGGAAGATGCAGGGCATCTTGACAAGGAAGAGCAGCAGCGACTTGACACTGGCGCAGGCAACAATAAATGGCGCTTGGGGCATTCCATATCGCTCGCTGGTGGGAAAGAGAACGAGAAGCGGAGAGATCTGATGAAGAAAATTGATGAGAAGATGGAAGAATACGGTGTGCTTTCTTCCTCCACCCAGGCGTACCATTTCTGACTCGTGCAGACAAACTTGTTCTACGCGAAGCTGCGCTTCGAAAACTGTCTCGACCTTCGAAACGAGTGTACAGGAACTTCATGGACTTCATGTACACAGAGCATCCTTTTAGTGATTCCGACGAGCGCTTCGTGTATCATGAGCAGGACTTCGTCTCTCTGGGTGAGTACGAGGGCAATTGGTTAGATGAGTTAATGCACCGCCTTGTGAATAATTGGGTTCTTAGGGTGAGACACCTGATGCTCCTCGAAAGTGTCGCTGTTGCAAAGCTAACTCTAGAGCTCCTCAGACCATCTTCGTCTCTGAGGACGAGCAAGCTAAGACTAGAGACCCCTATGTCCGCTACTATTCGGCAGACCGCCTTAACATCTTGATCAAAGTCATGATTGCAGTAACCTCGACGGCATTACTGCTGATCCCCATCTACATCTTCCTCTCCTGTACCGTGTCGACGAAGTTGATGGCAGCTATCACTCTCATCTTCGCTTTACTTTTGGCCACAGCGGTCTCAATATTCACTAGCGCAAATAGGCAAGAAGTCTTCGCAGTAACGGCTGCGTATTGCGCAGTGCTGGTCGTATTCATAGGAAACATCCAGCAAACGGCAACATTGCATTCCTGATGGCCGATTGCTTGGTGTCCTATGAACACACTGACCCTTGAACCCTATCAACGTCGAACCTACCAGATTGCCAATATGCCCTTCGCTCTTCTGTATATTCACCTTGGTGCTTTCTACTGGTTGTGTTGGAGAGTTTCTTGCTGTATATATTACTGGACAACTGGACTACCAAGTATGTTCTGGAGCCGTTTTTTTTAGCTTGAGCACGACAGAAAAGCTGGGCATTGTATGAAAAATCAGAATGTATCATGCACGGGGAATAATGGATATTCAGGTTTGGGCCATGCATATGGAGTTTTGGGTGGAAATCTTTGACTTCGAATACCCTGATCGTTACATCGCTCACGTGACTCTTCGAGTCCCTCCGGGCTAACGGATCGGACTTTCCTATGTTTGTATTTGTTTTTAGCGTCCTGGAAGTAGCAATACCTAATATCTAATTATTCATAACGATAGGCCCCTTCAATTCGTCCTATTGATATCGAGTTATGCTGTGAAGCCCCCAATTTGCCGCTCAATTCGAAATCGGACCTGAGATTGGTCGCCTTGTTTCTGCTGAAATGCGCGTTTCCCCTCATTCGAACGATCAGCGCGAACAGGGACGCCAACTTCTATCAATTAAATTTTTGAACACGAATAAGAATATTCTCTGTTCCGAAAGCCTCACCATAGAAAAGCCACCTCTTATCCTCCAGGTGGTGCCAGCACCCCTGTGGGAGATTTCTGGTTCCCCTGTTGTGCATGCTTGTTTCAGTATCATGACATTTAAATCTGCTCAATTTCGTCTCCGCCTTAACTTTTAAGACGCTTAGATGGAGAACAGGGTGCAGGGAATCCTTAGCCTCACCTCAACTGCATTCAGGGAACCCCTGCTGTCATAAAGTCTAGTCCTCTCTTTGCCTCGGATTTATTTCATCTTTGTCGTGTGATTCCACGAACCACAGGAATCGTACGACCTTCACATTGTGAGACTGCTAGCTGAACAAACGTGTTTGGATGGTTTGTGTTCGTGTGTGAGACTTTTGCATGACTGGAACGTCTCACATTATGATTGAGCTCTTACTCAGCGGAGCACCTGCGGAGCCGATCCGGCTCCAGTTCTTGACAGCTTTCGGTCGTGTTCTACCCACTCAAGAACTCGAAACCGAGATTGTTCAAGATACTCGTTAAACTCGACCTTTCATTCGACGCCTTGATTATCATGACTCGGGTGAGCCACCGTGGGCCCCCGTGGGCCGTATGCTTTTCAGCCCAGAAGTATTCAGATTTCCAAACGGCCGTCCTATCCGCCAATGGAGCTTTGAACCGTGTCATTCTACCCCCTTAGGCTTTTCAAACTGTATCGTCCCCAGGAAGCAGAAGAGTCAACACTCACGTGATATTAACAACGCTTCCTCCTACAGCTGTGAACTTGAATTTGTACCCAGACTTATGGCTCATAAAGTCGAGTCTCTTTTGTACTCGCATCTCAATCTTGAAATCCGACAGCGCCAATATTGGGCTCAATACTAAAATGAAGTTTTGGCGTTGAGTGGGTAAAAGGGGGTGAACTCGCTTATTTTGACGCTAGTTCACCTCTTCCTGAGTCCTCTTCTTCCTAGCACGTCACTACGCTTTCGTTTTACTTCCTTGCATTGCCTCTGAAGGGTTCTCAGTTTAATATCCAGTTCGTGGACAGGTTCGCCTTCTTGTAAGTGAAATTGGCCGGCCCCAATCCTCTCGTTTGAACGTGCCCGCTTTTGTTTATTTATACATTCAATGACTGCTGTGATCCGTCTCACCTGCAAGAGATTTTGTACGATGAAGACACCATGGTACATACCGGGGGAGGTTTTTGTTCTCCTCGCAGAAATTTTCCTGCGTCTGTACGTAATCTTACATTACTGTGGTTCTTTTGAAGCGTAAAATTCTGTAGTACAAAGGATACGAATCCTGAGGCCCTATAGCGCAATTACGTCAGCAGCTCCAACTTCTTGCATCGATCCGACTTAGATTTCAGAATCTAAGTTCTTGTTATCTCTCTCAATCAGGGTCACCTCTGCCTGCAACCATGCGATCCTCTTTGAAGCTTGTTGAAGAGGGAAAATCTGGATCGTTTAATAAAGTTCGAACGTTAGTAGAGGGACTCCAGAAACTACCTAGTGTGAGGATTATGGCTGGCATTTGCGTTTCAAAAGAAGCATCTTCTGATAGAGAAGGATCGGGTGAGTCCATTGCGGAGTCGCGAGCCGGTCCATTAGAGTGCTCAAACACCTATTTGATGTAAACCATATGAGGAACATTTGGGAGGAGAGACTGCAAAGCGAGGTACACATTGGGGCGCTGGACTTGTGGCAAGATTACATCTCTGCTCCTCTCAACGCTTTCAATTTTGGAGAATGATTAGCGGATCTTTCGGTCACATTCAGTCGGTTGACGTGCTTGACCATTAGGATCGCTAAATAGAGCATTGAGGAGTTGGCAGATGCCCGGTTTTTTCCCCCGGAGTTGCTGGCAATAGCAAAGGGGCTGAGGAAACTGTTGAAACTATATAGGCTAAGGAATAGAGAAATGTCTTAACTTCAACAGAAACTGCATTTGTGCATTGGCGGACTCAATACATCTCGTGATGAGAAGGGAAGCGCCCTGAGGTTATTGGCGGAAGACTATATGTTGGCTGAGATGCGAGAGGTGGAATGGGCCGTAAGGCCCCCATGCTCCGCTTTTCGAGATTCGCGTTCATCGAGTATGATCCGATCTGGGGCGGAACAGTGTGGATCCTAGAAAAAAGGTCAGCTCGATGACTCCTAGAGAAATGTTATCATTAAATTCGAAGCAATACAATTTCTCGACCTTCGCATACGTGTTCATATCACATAGATATGATAAGAAGACGGTGTCCTCGCCATGAGCATTGTAAGATCATAGGAAAGTTCTGGCACTAAACGATGCCAAATTTCAAAGGAGGGAATCGCTTGTTTGAGGTAGCGGCTTCATATGCTCTTCCTCGAGAAAAATACAAATGGTTTCGATCAAGGGGCTTGATTCGTAATCTTGGAACTCTCTAGTTGGTGAGTTAGGTTCACCTTCTAACTCATAGGCTCACATGCCTTCTTCGAAGTGAATTTAAAGGTCTCCAAAATTTATCACCTGATCGCGTTCGCTTCCATTCGCTTTGTTGACAAACACCCACCCTAAATATTCTTCGCCATTAAAACCTTCCAGCTTCCAATCAACCCTCCGAGGCATCTTGATTCCTTCCTCAACTTTCCTCGCAGAGGGCAAGAGTTTTAGCTCACTTCCGCAGAACATCGACTGTCGATGATCCACAGCGGATGGGTACAGACGTCTTGCTTTCAATCCTATCGCCTTGCCTTCGACTCAGCTTTCGCTTTCCAACCAGTTTTTGAAATCCATTCCTTGTATCAGAGAGCTGGATTCTACCACCCTCGCTGGTACATCGCATTTGCGTCGAACTCGTCCGTTCCAGGGACGGTCTTGGTACAACAACCTCTTCGTCAAGATGGCGATCGATCCGTTCCTGTTCGACACATATAAGCAGTACAAAGCTGGTACTGACAAGGTGACAACATGGCTGGCTAACAGAGCACGAGAGATGAATACCTTCGACGACCTGTTTCCATCCGAAGCCGCCTCTGCCAAGGGTAAAGGTAGACTCAAAGGCAAGGCAAGAGCAGCCCAAATAGCCGCGGGGAAGGGTCGAACTAAGATTTTACAGACAACAAGGTCCAAGCGATGTTCCGGCGCAGGCCTCAAACCAAAAGCACCAGCATTTCATTGGAATACTCCGTGAAACACTTCGCATCTTAAAACCATTAAGCAAAGAACCTGTAAGTGATTGGGCTAATCTCGTTCTGATTTCTGGCAGTATCGTCAATTTTCCCCGAGACGATGTTCCAGTTTGCCGCGAAACAATCTGTATCAGGCTTCGGCTAACTTCCCCTAGGGTCAAATAAACGGGCAAAGGGAAACAACACGAAAGAAGGTATGGACAGTACCGAGGAAGGCGTTGACGTGGCGGGTCTTGGCACTCTCTTTGAGCACCTAGAAGTTGATGAGCCTCTTGAGTGGACGTCAAACAACTTGCCGCCTAAGTCAACCAAAACCTTCGATGCTTACGTGCTTGAGCCTACCGACGAAGATCTCTCGTTCGCGATCTTCTGCCTTTTCAAGGATCTTACCGACATCCGCCACTACGTTCGTCAGACTGTAAGTGAAACCCAACATCTAACCTCCTCTCCTGCCTTCAGTTCAGGTTGCACAGTCGTTGACGTATGCGGACGCAGTGGACCGAATATAGAGAGCGTCAGATCGCCTTCACCACTGCAGCAGTGACGATGAATACGGCTATCTCCACACCCCGTCGTCTCAACGAAGAGTTCCTCTCCAACTTTCCCCGCTTCGGTGACCACAGCGAGATTATCAAGCACCCGCACAATGGCTACCATGATCCATCTCACGAGAAAAATGACGAAGACTTCGCGACATACACTGGTCTTCACTTGAAGATTTCTTCCAAAGTCCTCTTTTGCGACCTTACGTACGAAATGATCGCCGGCTTCTTTATGAAGGGTAGAATACCATTTTATCAACAAGAGCAAGTCCGCGGTGCCGGAATTCGATCTACAGATGACGAAGAAGCTTTATGCAAGTGCCTCTCGCTGTTTGGTTTGGTTAATTCGCAATGTGAAGGCAACTTCTATAACGACCAGTTATTCCAAGCATTGCATATCGCCAAGAAAGAAAGCGCGATCTATACCTGGGTAGTATTTGCGGTTCAACTGTCTGTTGACACTCGCCGTGTTCTTGGCAAGGAGTTGAGTCGATGTTTCGATGAAACACAGGAAATGCGAAAGCGGACGCCAGCAACATTGGAGCAATGCCTATCCCTCGGCCAAAGCAACAAAGTCAACGAGCCCCACAAGACAGGAACACCACTTTTGCAGGGTATCAAGAAGGAAATCGAGCATTTCCTGGAGAAAGACTTCATGCAGGAGCTTGTAGATGAGTACTTGGGCGTTCGCTCGGCTCTCTACCGCTGGGGTTCATTCTACCTTGTTCGCAATCATCCAATGCTTTTGGGTCTTCTTACACAACACTTCTTAACGAAAGTGCATGAGGTCGGAATAGCATTGGGCGGTGATCAAGGAGCAATAATTACCTCTATTCATTTGTACAACGCTTCTCAGCAGAGCGGCCAGTTGTCCGGGGGTTTAGGTAAGAACTTCGTCGCATTTCCTTTCCACACCTGATGTCCTGTAACTCTTTGAGATTGCGTCTTTAGTATATGTGTGCTAATCCTTGGGTCATAGAATGGACTGACCTTGAGAAAATCATCGAATGGCAGGACTCCTCATGGATTTTCGTCGGTGATCGACCCAAGCTCCCGGGAGATTGTTTAGTACACTACAACCTCGTCATGGGCGTCAGCGCAACCATTCTATCAAAGGACCGTCACGGCAAATCAACTCTTCGGCTGCGCAAGAAAACAAAGTTGCCCATTTCACAAAAAAAGAATCGAAAGTTGAGGCACATGTCAACATATTTTGATCTCATGTACGCTATTAAAGAATGCGCCAAGCCGGGAGAGCCTCGCTGGGTTCTTACAAGAGCAGCGGGGGAGCCTCTCGCTATGTTGGAGATGCTTGTCGGGAAGTGCTTAGAGAGCAACATTGAGAAAGCTGCAAGTTCGTCCAACTGTGGAAACAAGCGTTCGTCGATATGCCCGAAGGTTCATCCTCTCAGAATGATCTCCATCTTCAAGGACCGTCTTAAGTCAGAAGAGGAAATATTTCGGTTCGATCTCTTGGCCTTGAATCAACGCTGTGTTGAGATGCTTCGGAAGTCTCAAGCATTTTGCGTTGAGCAATCATCAATGGACTACCCAAAAAACGAGTATGGTGGTGATGGCCAATTGAACAATTGTTTCAGTCACATGATTGCAGGCGTGTCTGGCGTGCCGCGTTCCCAGCCTACGAGATTCCGAGAAGCATGCCTCATAGTGAAGGAAGTAGTGGAAGCCGAGGGCGGTATTGAATACGAGAAGGCAAAGACACGTCGTTTTGTCCAGGCTGATGGTGGAAAGATCATAATCGACAAGTTTGAGACGCCTTATGAGGACAATGTTTTGGTGTATGATAGGGATCATTTCAGTAGAATTATCATTGCGGATGACTCACCTTGATTTGCTATGATTTGAGGTGTCGATACGCGGAAGGAGCCTTTGATGGATTGTAGAAGCCGTGGGAGAGTTGGGCTGGGAGATATTCAGCGAAGCAGCGGGGATTGGCTGCTGCACGCATGCTGCTCTTGCACTTCGCATCAAACACATAGATTTCAGCTCTTCAGAATAATGACTTGAGACCAGAATAGTGAAGTTATGATCCGCAAAAACGAAAATTCACCCAAAACAGTTCCAAGGTTCCACCTCTCATTAACATCTGCGACCTCTCAATATTGCTGTGTGAAAACATTAGATCTCCAGCATACAAATCCTCTTATGTATGAATTGATGCCTTGCTTCAAGATTTTGAAGTGTTAGTGGTCGACTTCACCAAGCAAAATACCACCATCTGCCATCGAAGTAGTGGAATACCGAAACAAGGTCGCACTGGTTTTGGAGACTTATACCACTCAATTTGGGACTCTGAGGCAGAGGACAATCTCAGCACAATATTTGTCACGTGCTGCGCACAGGCATATATATAGCTTCTTCACCGCCCTTAGGGCACTACCATTCATACATATATTTACACAAACACATACATTTCCACTTCCACAGCTTGTCCAGGCCGTGACAATATTAGAGATGGGGGATCGTATTCAGCTATTCCTCATCTTCACAATCCACAAAAATTTCATCTAACAGAGAACAAACACGAGACACAGAAGCTGGATGAGATTTCAATCCAGACCTAGTAGAATACCACCATGCCACATCGACCTTGACCTTGAAAATATCCCTCTCATAGTCCACCAAGATTGCTGCCGGCGGGATATCATCCGCCAAGCCCAAAATGGCATAGATCCTATCATGAGGATCACAAGATTTGGATGTCCTGCAGGTCTCCATCAACTCTAGCAACGTTCGCTGGTTATCCGAAACCCTGCTTCTCGGAATCTTGATGCCTGGACTTTTGGCAATTCTCTCCAGACAGTTTTGAATCAAAGGTGCCGGTTGACGATGATCGGCTTTTCTGAGCTCGAAAAGCTCACCGACTATTGATACGGCCTCATCGAAGCGCTTTCCATCCATGTAATCCCAGCCGCACTGAACAACCGTCTCGGAAGCTAGGAGATATTCCTGAACAATCCAGATTCTGCTCCAGTATGTTCGTTCGACCAGCGCTGCTACTCCTTCCCATGGGGCGACAGGCTCAGAACGAAGGGACAACCTATTCCACCACCCCACGCGCCTTTCTTGAACCAACAATTCCCTTGAGGACTCGAACGGTTCGCCTCTATGAATTGGAAACACAGAAAGCTTTTTAAACGAGTCGCGGCTTCCTGTCAGTGTTGCGGGCTCCGCGTTCTCAGCTAATTTCTTCCGCGGCGCCTTTTTCTTCTCTACAACCTCTTTGCTAGGCCTAGATACCTCCCGAAACGATTCCCAGATCTCATGAAGCAGCAAGATTGCCTCCCGGCTATTGCCGCCCCTCTCACCAAGCCAAATCCGCACCGAAGATGCGAAAGTATAGATGCTGCTCATCATACCCACCTGATGATTCCGTTCTAAAACATCCTCTTGATTGATACAAATTGCATCGACCCACAGCGTCCTCGCGGCGAATTCTGTCCGGAGACAGCGCAGAGCCTGCCAGAGGTTGCGTCGGACGGTGAAAGGTTGACCATCGAGCAGAATCTCGTGCTTGGGACTATTTATGTCACCCCATTCGTAGGATAGCGCTTCGTAATGCAGCTGTCGATCTTCGAGGTTGCCGATGCTCAAGGTACACTCGATTGTGGCGTCTTTCGTGGGTGCTGGAAGGAGCGTCACGAGACGCAATTCCTTCGTCCGCGATGTTTGTAAGGGGGTGTAGAAATGCGAAGATGACATTGTTCAGGTAGCATGAAGAGCAATCAACTGAAAAGATTTGAGAGCAAAGGAAAAAGGGGTTGTGTGCCTCAATGTTCTTGAGAATCTTGATTGTGGCTGTGTGTCTCTCTCTGATGTTCATGAGAATCTTTGATTGTGGCTGTGTGTCTCTCTCTGATGTTCATGAGAATTTTTGATTGTGGCTGTGCCACGCAGTCGTCCAGTAGTGGATGCATGCATGTCAGCTCCCAATCAGATCTATCCACAAATGATAGATGTTTTCAGCCTTCGGTACCCGCTTGTTTTTACTTGAGTGCAAGTATGGCCAGGCTAAAACTAGGTGGTGAAAAGTATACCAAGTCTCATAACGCCAAACGCCTCGAACTCAAGACGCTCTCAGCTTAGCTGGAAGAACAGTGCCTACGTCTCTCTAAACTCAGCAATGAAGTCAAGGAGATCAATGACCGTGAATTTCTCTAAGATTGAATGTATGCAACTGCTATGGTACAACTGTGGCCCACAGCGTAGGGCAAATGTCGAAAGTCGAGAAAAAGATGGAAGTAACCACGAAGGGACATACTAAATCAAGCAGGTATTTCAGTAACGTGAGGGGAAAACGCAGGCTCTATAGATGCTGCCTATTATCTCAAGGAGTTCTCTTCTTTTCAAGCTTTAAATCTTGTATTAAATCCGGCATGCTCCTCTTTTCCAAGAATAAGAATTTTGCAAGACTGAGATGCTTGAACCAATCGCCTTTGCTCTCGACAATTAAGAAGAGACAAAAAGCTGTGGATTGTTTACTACTTCTCCTTCTTTGAGTTCGTAATCGTTTTCGATAGTGCGAGTTCAGTCTCACATGATCTTGATAAGGCCAGGAATAGTGAAGGAGCCTCTTTCAGCCACTAGTCAACTATCTACATGTCTAACATTGGATATACATGAAGATTGCTCCTTGCAAAGCCCTAGACCTGCCTCCAACATTGTACCTGAACACCAAAGAACACCAAAACACCCTGTCAAAGCCCCCACAACGCCCAGCTTCAAATCAAAACTCCCAAATCCAAAAGACCATCTTCTAGCTCTCATAAACAGCCACATACTGCACCTCCATCCCCGCCGGCGCCCCACTAACCGTACTTGCAGACGCACCACCCGGCCACTTACCCCCAACCGCAACATTAAGCGTCATAAACATGGGTCCCACAAGCGTTGTCCAGATATCCTGGCTCCCCACATCACTCCCTATCACCGTCCTATACTCCCTCCCATCCAACAAAAACGCAATACTCTGCGCCCTCCAATCCGCACTAGTCAAATCAACAACATGCGCCCAAGTATGATAACTCGCATAATCAAATTCAATCCCCGAAGTAAGGCCCGGACCCGGGTCGTTGCACGGACCTCCACAATGCACCGTTCCAAAGCCCATGGCAGCACCGTTGACACTCTCAAAGGTGTCGATTTCGCCGCATGCCGGCCACGGGACACCGGGCGTCTTCCTCATCCCTTCTCCCAAAGACCAGAAAGCGGGCCATATGCCCTGCATTTGAGCGGCTGGAGTCACTGGCTGCCCGACTTTGAGCTTTGCTTGTACGCGCAATTTCTTGCCGGCTGTGGCGTTGAAGGCATCGAGGGATTCCAGACGGCAGGAGGTCCATTGCCCGCCGTTGTTTTGGGGGGTGATTTGCAGGGTGCCGGCTGTTACTTGGCAGTTGGCGCCGGAGCTGGGGTAGACTTCTTGCTCGCCGTTGGAGGGCTGCCCGGTCCAAAACTTCCAGAGGTCAGTGTCAACTGACTTGCCGCTGAAGTCGTCAGACCATTTGGGGGGGTAGGTGAAGCCTGGAACTTGTTCTGGGACTCCGGCGATGGTGGTAGTGACGAGAGTTGCAAGAGCCGCAACGGCGGCTAGGGAATACATCTTGACAAAGTAATCTGACAATTGCACAGCACAGTTGAAGAGAAAAGCATATGTACAGAGAAAGATAGTAAAAGAGGGGCAGGAACGTGTTTGTGCAGGAAACAGAACATATATACTAGCTGCTAGCCTTCTGTGCGGGGCAAGACGCGGATAAGGACAGGCAAGCTCATATGAAGAGGCAGCGGAAACCAGTAAACATCCCCTACGAGGGCCAAGTTTGCCAATCACCTCCACAAATCTTGGCTGCGGGACGGAGTCCGGTGCCTGCTCACGAAAGAAAGAAACAGAAACGACGCCCGCCAGCTCACTGCGCATCCCGCGAGAGAAAAAAAAAAAGAGAAGTGGAAGATATCAGCCTCGATTCGAGCCTCACCTCATCCCATCCCAATCCCGTCTATTTTTAGCACAGGTGGAATTCAGGACCGGCCAGCACACTACCCAAACAACATGTGGCTCCATATCTCGCCCCAAGAAACCTGAAACAATACGCAGAATAAGTCTGATGCAGCAGCTTCCTTTCCCTTGGCAGGGGAGCTGAAAAGACTGGTCGAGTCCGAAGGGCACATCTTGCACCGCTCAAGGACCTCCGGAGCTGAAGAGCGGTGCGCTCCTTCAGGGGCTGAGCGTCGTTCCTCGACCAACCGAGAATTCGCATAACAAGGCTGATTAAGGGCCAAGTCCTGTGAAACGTGAACAGTTCAACATAACGTGAGCGGGCTCGGCTTGTGCCTAATTGCGGTTTATGTGTGCTTCGCACATGCAACTCTCCTCCTGGTGCCTCAGCCATAGCAAACTCGCTCTTGACTTGGAAGCCAATCCAAGACACAACCTGACAACGTGGCGATGGCTCGCCACTGCGCCAGCAGGTTGCGCCCTCGCTATCGCAATCGCAATCGTCGCATGGCTGGAAGAATCGACAAACAAGTTTGACGCCATTGGTGCTATAAGTTAGATAGGCGCCAATATCGTGGTGTTCAGGATTGAAAGCTTCTCGATCGCGGGAGAAGTCTGGAATGGAAATGGATTCCTGGTTTTAAGGTTAAGCTTGTTGAACTAGCTAAAGCAATATAGCTAGGGTCACGTGCTTGCAATGTAAACCAAGTAAACGATACTGAATTGACTGCTGTTCTACAGTGGTAAGTAGCCCGTATATATAGCCCTGAACCCCCTAAGTCACATGTACTAAATCCCTATGCCAGCTGAACCGATTACAGCTATACAGGGTATTCCAGCTATACAGGGTATTCCAGCTATACAGGGTATTCCAGCCATACAGGGTATTCCAGCTATACAGGGTATTCCAGCCGTACAGGGTATTCCAGCTATACAGGGTATTCCAGCTGGACAGGGTATTAAGCTAGTGCACAGCCCCATGGCGTTCGGTTCCAGGGCTTACTAAGCCTATTAGGGGCCTCAGGCCCCTAATTTCAACAAAGCTGCCGAGGAGGATCGATCACGTGCAAGGATCTCACTCTGCCTCGATAAACGGATGAACCATAGCATCCATTTATGCTTATATTCCCCAAATCCTGCATCCTTCTTTAAAAAAAAGAATTCTTCCTTTTAGAATACCATATTCATCAGTCTCTATATAATTGATCAGGAAAGCTTGAGCGATGCGATGCGGGTGTTCTCTTTCTCGCTTCCACGATCTAGAACTTCTGCCCTGAATTATCGCTCTCCCAACCAACCCCTTTCTTGCGCCACAAACTAAACCCATAAATGAAAGAAAAGTAAGAAAATTAAACGATAACTCTAAACTAATTTCTGGGTTGATTAACTTGCAACGCCTCTCCTCCCTAAGGAACGCCCACTCCGCAATATCTCGTTCCTTGGTTGAGAGAGAGGCTCAATATCTGCTCCCATCTACAGCTCAAACAGAATCTCTAGGAAAACCTTGATTTCCCTGTTAACTCAAAGAGCACATTATTAATCCCGTTGATGGATTTTCCCAAGCAGTAAAAAAGGATGTGGTGCCTGAGATTTAAGGTAAAACCGGAGGACTTTTGCTCCTATCGATAATCTCTCTCCGTCACTCACCCAGCAGCACTGGAGTCATACCCTAAACCACTCGCAGACCGAAGCAAAGTGCACAAGAATAGAATCCATCGGCCACATCCATTAATTAGCCAGTACATAACAGTACAGCAGCACACCAAACATCTCCCCAATCCAATCCAGCCAAATCATACAAGCTGCTTCTCCCTTCCACGCTGATTTGTGTATTCGATTCCATCCGTTTTCTGTATCCAAACTACCATGCACCTCTATCAATCCCATCCACGCACCCCTCCATCCAACCGAGCACTTCTGTTGAACGTCTCCACCTTTTGCTCCCCCCCCCCCTCCTCTCAAGCCAATCCCCAAGAATGAAAGTAAAGTTAAGGGAAAGTAACTATCCAGCCATCGTAGCAGCAGTTGGCAAGCCCCCTCCCCCCTCCCCCTCATTTCTCGGCGTAATGCTGCCCTCGATCCGGCGTTTCGCCTCCGCCTTCTCGGACTCAGTGATATCCTCATCTTTCTTGCGCATGTCGGGCGTGTGTTGGCTTTGGCCTGGGTGATGGCCGATGGACATGCCGACTCGTAGCTATTGAATCATCAATACTATTCCCATCCTAAAGAGAGAAGAGATGGACCTACCAAAGTCTCGAGAGCCCCATTCGAATTATCCACCAAATCATCATCAAACTTCATACTCCCTTCCTCAAACAGAAGCAGGATCGTGCTCCCTCCAAATTTGAAATACCCCAATTCCTCAGCACGCTTGACGTTCTCGCCTGCCTTCCTCGTGATGACAGTGCTTCCCACCATCATAGCGCCAACGCAAATGACCATCACGCGTCCATGCTCCAGCGAATCAATTGGGATCACAACTCTTACGTTCTCACCATAGACATCGAGCGCACTTCTAATCGCCATCGGGTTAACCGTGTAATACTCACCTTCAATTATCTTCGGTGTACCCATCACACCATCGACTGGGATATGGAAACGGTGGTAATCCTGCGGCGCAAGACGGAAGATACCCAAGCCGCCGTTCTTGTAGCGATGAGCATCGTCTGGGTACGCGGTGCCGAGGAGTCTCTCGATCGAGAATTCTCTCCCTTTGACCCAGATCTTGGTCGCCTCGTCCATGCGGTTGAAGACCACTGATCTGCAGTCCGCAGGCGAGACAATGATTTTCGGGTTATCGGGCGCCGAGCACGGTCTCGCGTCCGGCTTCAGCTGTCGGTAGAAGAACTCGTTGAAATTCTTGAACTGGTCCATGGGCAGCAGGACTTCAGACATGTCGAGCTGGTGGAAGTTTATGAATTTCTGGATCTCGGCTTTGGAGGCCGGGTCGTCGTATTTGACGCCTTGTTTGAAGGAGAGGCCCCGGAGGAGCTTGCGGACTGATGGAGTGTGAGCTACTGTTAATGCGGGATGGGGACTTGGTACGTAGTAATATAGATCTTGAGAATACATACTTCTCTTCTTCTCCATCTCCTTAGATTTTAAGCCTTTATATAGTAGTCTGATTCCTAACCTCACGTACACGCTCATGCGCTCTTCGTTGATTTGTCCCGTGATGCGATCTTGGACCAAGATGTTGGCTGAGTTGGCCCCGAGCTTGTAGCCACCGTAAGAGATCTTGGTGATGACTTTGGAGTACCATTTTCGTTGAGCTTGACTAGATGTTACGAAACCGGCCATGACAATATTGTTGACTTGGCGCCAGTCCTGGCTTGCACATGTGGCGATGTGGGTGATGATGTCAGCGTCAGAACGCTTGTTCAAGCGTGGTTGATGACAGATGGGGCATTCTCTGATCTCGACGACATGCTCTTCGGTATGATCGTTCAGATCGTCGCTGCGGTCCAAAAGATCACCTTCCTCACCAGGGGTACTGAGTTCGTCAACTTGCTGAGCTTCAACTCCAAGCTGAGACTGGTCGACCAGAGTGGCATTATCAGATGTCGTCCCTGTAGTGGCGGAGGCAGCCGATGAAGATGGTTGCCCAGAAGTGCCGCCAAGTTGATGAGGAATATGAGCCTTCATTCTATCAGAATCTGGCATCAGGTTTCTCATTCTATCACCCATCGATTGTGGCTTCGACTTCTCAATAAGCTGCTCCTCTAGGCAAATGATAGCCTCATCGAAGCTGAGATCTTGGATGGTTTCGATTCCATTCTCAAGCTGGTGCGAGAATCGTTTGAAAAAAGAGTCGATCGTAGATTCCTTCAACGTGGACCCGAGAGTATCAAGCATGGTGGTGAGTTCGACCTTGCTGATTCGACAACTCTCATCAGTGTCATATTGCTTCAACATTGCTTTCCAGAATTGCTGACGAAGTGCAGGGTATGGAACGTATTTGGCCTTGATGAAGAGCTCTGGGTTGTGCTTGTCTTCCCATTTGTCTGCGTTCTTTAACTTTAATGGGATAGTGAAAGGGTGCAGATCTGGATCTCCCTGGCTATTTTCGGTACTATCTGTATTGAGAGTTGGGATGTCGGTTGGCTGCAGCATACCAGCAGCGGGATTGCTTGTTGGGCCTGGAGTCTGCACGGGCGTAGTGGTCCCTGACTGACTCGGGATTTGTTGAATTTGTGGATTCGAAAGGGTCTTCTGCAAGCCGGGACGAGCCAGTCTATTCAGGCTCTGGGACGAGGACGAGCGAGACATTGGTAGCTTAAATCGTGATCGATTGGGAGCTGGGAAAGCACCCGCGTCTGGATCCTTCAGCGAGTACAATCCGGTTTCTGCATCTGCTTCGGGAGCTGTATCCGTGATTTCTTTGAGTGGTAGTACAGTTGAAGCAATAAAATCGTTTCCAGACAGCTTATCTCTGTCAATCACAGTGAAAGACAGAGAGTATGTTTGTTCGTGCCTTAAGACTTGGAAGATCATCTTCTCGTTGTACACTGGATTGAGATTGTGTCGAATAACGCGAGTTCGATAAGTCTTCTTCCCCAAGGAGGCCACAACAAACGGATCCATGTCAAATGTGGTCCTGGTGAGGTTCTTCTCGGGGGGAAGGTCTTTGATGTTGCCAATCTCCAGGAACACGATCCCCACAACCTCACTGCCGCCACTGAACTCGTATGCAGTCAATTGTTTCTTCTTCCTTAAGCCTCGGAGCCTCAACTTTCGCTTTCTCTTCTCGGCATTCTCTGGTTTCGTCGGATCGTCCGTCTCGTCACTGGGCTCCTCATCCTCGTCAAAATATTCATCTTCTTCCTCTCCACTAGGTGTCGTTTGGCTGTGCTGCTTTGTAGGCGTCACGACATCTGGAAGATCCACTACACCAGCCAAAGCCCTGAATTTGGCCAAAACTTCTGCCGGTGTCGCCCCATGGTTCGTGCAATCGAACAAGGTAAATTGCATTTGCACCTCGCCCGAAACATTGCTGCTCTTCTTCCCACCAGGTCGCTTGCTCTTCAACGAATACCAGGTCGGTGATTGCTCCGTCAAGTCATTCGCAAAGATATCCTCGAGAGCCAGATCAAATTCGCCCAAGTAGTCCTTCCCAAATCGATCCTTGTCCCAGCACACGCAATCGAGGAGCAGGCTGTTGACGCCAGCCACCGGCATCTGCACCGTGACGTTCCATTCCGGATTCAATGTCTTGGGGACCGAGTGTGTCGCGCTCTTCGATTCGCCGAGGGTGAGGACGCAGTACTACGATACTTAAGTCACTTCGATGTCCGTACGCACAGGTGTCCCATTCGGGGGCGTATATACTCACTGGATCAGACGTGCCACTCTTATCCTTTGCCGCGAGGTTGCGAGCCTGCAGAGATCACAATCAGAGTTCTCCTTTCTCCCGATCCCAGTCTGCCAGGGAGAGCCTACCTTGAGCACGACAACCTTCAGCACCAACCCGCTCGCCTTCTCCGGGCTGGTGTCCGCGCCGCCAGAGCTCTTCTTCATACTGCCGTTTGGATTGGGACTCGTGCTGCGGGAATGGTTCGCGCTGTTGCTGCCTCCGCCGTTGAAGGATTTCAGGCGGTTGGGCAGTGATATGCGGACCATGGTCGATATAGATTGCGGTGTGCTTTGGGCCTTGGCTGGCTGCTGTTGACAGCTCAGCACAGCAGTGTGCAGTGTGCAGTGTGCAGGTGCAGGTGCGGGTGCGGGTGCGTGGGCAGTCTGCAATGCTCAGCACAGGCACAGCCGGACAGCCGGTCAGCAAGCTACGGAGTATGCACGCAATGCCGTAAAATGATGCCAAATTGCCAATGCCCTGCAAAAGATGGAAGTGGGTGCAGCGGTCGCTGGTCGGGTGTAATAGAACCTATTTGCTGTGGCTGCTGTGTGGATGCGGAGCTGAAGGACTGTGCTTGGCAGGGAGCGTCGATGTCGTTGGCCAAGGACAGGCCCGTGAGCGACGCGGATTGGCTCAGGGATGGGGCGGAGCGGCACCGTGCGGGGTGCCGTTTCTGGGTGCTACAGGGCTGCGATGCTGATGCTGATGCTATTTGTCGATTCGCGGTGTTGTGTTACAGACTTGCTGCTGGTGGGCGGAGATTCGAGGGATCCTTCGCTGTGATGGAGAGGCCTGGTTTGATGAGAGGGGAGAGGAGGCTGAAGATGGAAAGTAAGTGGAGCAGAGCGCGAAAGCTGCCAAAGGCTCCAGCTTGTCCCTTGTCACGTAACGACCAAGGCGTTTCGAGCCGCGAGCTGGCTAATAAAGGGGCCAAATACAAGGCCGATCTGTCGGCTCTTAGGAGGGCAGGTGGCGTGGCGTGGAAGGTGTGTGAAATACGATGAGATGGTGCTGGTTTGGAGGAGTCGGAACCGCGGATGAAGGGAGGTTGATCAAGCGCAACGTCACTAGACCCGTGAACACATGCAGGCTTGATGGTCGAAGTGTGGATACTGCTGAGGGGCCTTCCTAACTTTATTCTTCTCGATGGGGTTCCAAATATAGGCTGTGTGCTTTCATATTTAGAAGAGGAAGGGATGATCTTGGGGCTCAGGGGCTCAGCTGGAAACTCGCCTGAGGAATGTTTGCTTGCTCCTGTGAGACGACCTGCAGGCGATCGAGTACGAATACGGTAAGTTTGCGCAGTGATCATTCGAAGGCACAGGATTGGTGTTTAATGGCTCACATTGTTCGACTACAGGTAGGAAGGATTGTGAATGGTTGGTTCGAACATAATGAACTCAGCAAAGGACAGCTCCGTTAATAATGCTCAAGGCTCCTTGGCTGATATACTTACCTCTTACACAGTAATACGTATATTTTCATCAGGCTCTGTAGAGATTATTCATAGCATTGCATTTTGATACTTGACTGGCATTTAGAGCGTGAGGATATATACTGGACGCGGCAGGGTACATCCTGAGGAGTCTCTGATGAAGTTAAACTTCATCTTGATTTTCGATGATCGTGGCTGGGGAGAAGCCTCGGTTCAGATGAAGAAGTCACCCCGCACTCCAGAGGCACCAGGTTCAGTGATCGACGTCCAAAGAAGCAGACAATCGATCATCTAAGTCTTCCATTCTCATCTAAAGCGATCTAGATTCTAGAAGTCTGTTTCTCCTTCCAACGAGAACTCCAAACAAGAACTGTTGCTTAGTTTTGACAGCCATTGAAAGCCCATCCCAAACGCCATGGCAATGCCAATCAAAACCATCAATAAAACATACGACACTCTCAGAAAGTAATAACCCCCTCAAGCAGCGGCAGTCTCTGCAATCCTCTCCCCCTTGGGCGTAAACTCACTAAAAGCATTCGGCCACAAAAACATCTTCTCCTCTTTAGTCGGCGTACTGGCAACCAACAGGGGCACCGCCTGCTGACTGCTAACCCTCCTCCACAAATTCGCTCTTGGATTAAATCTCGCCGGCTTGCCCAAACCCTTCGTCTTCCTCTCATCCTCCTCCATAATCTTGACAACCTCGCGCTGGATATCCGCGAACGTGTCGAACGGGATATATGCAATCTTATGCTCGACGCAGTACTCCTCGAGTCGCAGTCCTCTCCGTGCAAAGAGAACGTCGGCCTCGCGAGCAGCAGGGAGATCGGAGACGCCGTCGCCGATGAACACGATGAGCGGGATGGTGCCGTCTTCAGCCTTCAGGTGAGCTTCGGCTCTCGCCTCTTGCACGCTCAAAGCTTTGTCATGACCTAACTCCGTGTCGTGTCTCCAAACGGGCTTCCACTCACTCCCATCTTCGGTGATCATCGCATCATTGGCCACAATCTCAATATGTCCACTCTCCTCCTCACCCAAGAACTTATCAAGCACCTTCCTCAGAATCGGCTTCAATCCAGCGGAGATGACGTTGAAGGGGATCTTGTTCTCGATGCAGAAATTGTGGAAGGCTTGGAAGTCCGGGTCGATTTCGAGGGTTTGGTGCATGACTTCGAATCCGTCTTCGAATGGCACGTTCAGAGAGCCCCACATCTCTTCGGAGACTTCGCGGAAACTGCGTTCGCCGGTTTTGATTTGCTCGTCGAGGATCTGACGCCGTGTGGAGCCACAGCCGTGCGCGTCGAAGAGGATATGTCCGGTATCTTGCATGAAGATTGTGCCATCGAAGTCTGGGGGGTGTAGTTAGAATTGCGGTTTGGAAGTGTTTCAGGAGTGGGGGGCTTGGAAAGTGAGGTTCGAAAATTGAGGGTGTGGTATTTAGGTGGGGATGAAGGTTCGAAAGGGGACTTGTCAGGAAGTGATCAACAGATCAGCACACGTACCTGAAAAACAGATGATCTTCCGCTTCATATGTGCCATCTCGGTATTTTGTGTTGGCAGGAAGCTCGTCTTGGGAACAGAAAGTTCTTTCTTAACCTCAGGGGCTGCGGGGGGAGTGATAGCGGCAGGCATCTTAAAGTACGCCGCTGGTAGCGATGATGTTGTTGATGTTGTTAACCAGGGCGACGAGTAGATAGCAAAGTGTGGGATGGGGATATGACTTGGAAGTCGTGATGTGAACTATGATATTTCTTGCTTTTGGTCTTGGGGGGGGGGAAGGGAGAGAATGTGGGAAGCCCGTCCCTCTTATTATGCCTCCCCCCTCCACCAAACTGCCGCCCTCAAACCGGCAACGGCAGGCGCGCTTTTCTCACGATGGCTTGATAAAGTTTCTCATCTTGCTAACCGTTCGTATGGCACTTAGCGCGTGGAGGCCATCATTGGCCCACACTTGTCTGCTCAGGATCGAATTCTCGACTCCTATCGAAAGTCGAGGGTCTTGCTCGAGTTTGCAAGTGGCTTCCAGCCCCCGCCGATCATAGTAAGGATAAGGTATTCCGAGCGCTTACTTGCGTTCTAGTTGGCTAGACTGATGGACTATGACTACATTGTGCTTAGGGGGTTGTAGAAATTCATGTGAAATACTCGCTTGTAGTGGGGCAAGTCTTGGCTGGCGCGTTTGGTGTGGAGGGGCAGTGCAAGTCGACTTTTTGAACTCTCATAACGGACGAATGCGAAGTTTGACTCGAGGAAAAAAAGAAATGAAAAACAACAACGTGATAAACGAGTCAACTATTCTCACTGAAGTCACAAATCATAACTGAGGCACCATTTCTTCTCTTCGTCTTGAGAATTGATTGAGAAACAAACTTCGTGCGAGGTGTGGCTGAGATGATGTCATTGCCACCATTTTGCACACTTGTACCACCATGACCGGATCTTGTCTCCGTAGGCCGTTATGTTAAGACTTCACGGGCTGCAACGGCACGCTTCTAGTTGCTGCTTGCTGCTCGCTGCTTGAATCTCACGATGCAGCTGTCAACTTGATGCTGATGAACTAGTGATTCAAGGACCGACTCGGGCTCACCACTCGGCAAAGATCGACGGCTCATGTCGGGGGCACGTCAGTTGTGCGGTGAGGCTGGTCTGTATCCCATCTTTGCCGGTGCTCTCTTCGCTCTTCCCACGACAGGCGCCGTGGGGGCGTGCATATGGGCGTCACTGTGCATCTTGAAATGCGTTATCTTGGACCCTCGATTGTTGAGTATGGGGTTGTTTTGAGGGTTCAAAAGCTGCATGCCACAGCCGCTGGTGATGTCAACGTGCAGATTCGAGGGGCTTTTCGTGATGCGGAGCTTTTGCTCAATGCGAGCAGATGCTCGGAGAGCCGCTTCATGTGGAAGTGTGGAGCCAGTGGCACATATCGAGAAGATGATTGGACACGACCAAATGCTTCGAGTTTGTCCATTTTTGGTAACCTAAACAGCTTTATGTATATCCGATCCCCGCCTTCCTGTACGCCATGTCATCTATCGCGGGGTATTTTATGCTGCAACTTTGGCAGAGTACTTCGTGGCGGCTTTGTCGAATAAAGAGGACTTTTCTTGCAGATCTGTGAGGAAATGGTGGTTGGGTACTGCGCTTTGCAGGTCGCTGAAGTTACTTGTTAGAAGAGTTCAAGTCGCGAGGCAGGAAAGAAGGACTACAAACCTCTTCAGTTGCGCAGTATCTTTGCCTTGAATAACGTTCAAGACGATGCTGTTTGATATGGCCTCTGCATTCTTAGGGTCCTTTGCGATTGCCTGTTTGAGAGCTGCCTCTGCTTCGTCTAGTCGGCCAAGATGGACTTCCGCAACGGCTTGTGATATCAGACTCTGAATTGAGGAGGTTGCAGGAGCTTGCGCAAGCTCTTCAAAGACGTAGAAGGCTTGTTGGTATTTCTCTCCGCCCTTTGCACTATTAGCTTGATCCCTTCTCTTAGAAAGAAGCGCATACCACGCGTAAGCCCACCCACGACTCTGCAAGGTTGACAAGTAAGCTATCTTGAGCCCACCTCCTAGCTGCTGCAACTTCCTTGATGGCCAGATCAGTGCGATTTTGTTCGAGGTGGATCTGGACGATCAAAGCAACAGCTTCGACTATAAATTCTGTCAGCGCAACCTCCCGTACCAAGCCAACTCAATACACATACGGTTTCCTTGATGCTGAGAGAGTAACGCCAAAGCCTCTTCGCTCTTTCCTGCAGCCTGCAAGACTGTCCCAGCCAAAATTTGAACGGTATTGTTATCCGCAGACTCGCTGGCCAGCTTCTCCGCAATCTTCACAGCCTTGCTCTCATTCCCACCGGCAGACTCAGCCAGTGCCCTAACAGCTACCAATTCCACATCCACCTCCCCTTCAACATCTGCAATAACGTCTTCTGCATGTCCGAGGGCGATTTGGGCGCGGAGGGAAAGGACTCGGGCCGGGAGTTGGTTCTCGGCGGACAGACCAGCGGTATCGAAATCAATGGCTTCTTGGAACTGGCCTTGGTGGAAGTAATTGTGCAAGTTCAGCAACTCTCCTTCGGCGGAAAAGGGATCCATGGTGGATTGTGTATTGAGCGATGTTCGTTGGTTCATACGTGTTTGAAGAGGACAAGCGGAAGGTGCCGTAGTTGCAATTTTAGCGCGGAATCCGTGGCTGTTTGAAGCGAAGTCTTTTCACTGCTCCAGATTCGTCAACAACTTTCGAATCTCCAACAGTTCCGGATCTTCTCCAGTCCCAGTTATCTTCACTGTTGGCGATTTCGCCATGGGATGTGGGCTTCTGCTGCGTGTCTTTCCAGTGCGGAAATCGTCCTTTCCTGGTACGCCAGCACCAACCCGTGCCCAGGGCCGGAAATTTCTCAAGGGATTTTCGCTATATCTCGAGGCAGTAATGTGCTGTAGCTCCTCAATAGGAGACTCTGTCTCCTCATCGTCCTTCAGCTCCATCCTCACGTAGTCCCAGAAGAACCGAACATGCTCCTGGCCTCTGTATTTCTTTGCACCCGTTTCGTACACAGTATATTGGACCTCGTTGTCCAGCCTGTCGAACAGCAAGTCGTCGAGATACTCCTCATAATCGTCCTTGTCAAAGTAGCTCTCCATCCCTTTCTCACTGTAGAATTTCTTCCATCTTTCCAGTCTCTCTTCCACAGTCTCGGTGGAATTAAAGGGCGATTCAGGCTGGTTGCTACTATCAGACTCATGGCCATTTGTGCCTTTGCTTGCACCTTCTCCAGTGCTGCGATCTGATGAGCTACTGCTCCATTTCAAGATTTCTGGAGCATCTGCATCGTGGTACTTATGGTTGCTCATTAAACCACCCTTGTATCGCCAGACCTGCTGCTTTGGCATTTCGTGGTGGAAGGTTGTGATGAGCGGTGGGAGTTTAATGCCTCGTCGCTGAAGGAGGGCAAATGTCCCAGTATTTGACTTGAAAGAACGAGGTTTGATTCCTTGCTGCTGCAGCGGAGTACTCGATTGTTGTGCCATTTTGCTACTATGCTTTCGAGTTGGTATTGTCTTGCTAAGCCTCGCTTCCCCTTTTATTGTCGCGCTTTATTTTATCAAGGCCGGTAGGTGAACAATCATTCACCCCATTGAATTTTTTGTTATTGAACCCGAGCTACGCCGTGACTAAATTCTTTTGTTAATGGTGTCTAGTCAGCTCATCGTCTGAATATTTAAGGCCTTGTCTGCAATTTCGAGGACCTTCGTTAGTTACATTTTCAAAACTTCCTCCACAAAATCACCCACGACTTCATATTAGCTCATCCCGCTATTCACTTAGAGTACAGCAATCCTGACATGGCGCCGGCAACATTATTGCCGGACCAGGAGGGTTTGAAGAAGTCCTTACACGAGCTAAATGCTCTGCCAGACGGCTGGCTTATTGGCATCGACAAGAACAAGAGAATGACCTTTCAAAAAGGGCCAACCGGTAGTCCTCTCTACATCCATCCTACCCTTGGAGATTTGCCAAAGCCATGGATCCTGAGGTTTTGTGGGAGTAAAGCACCCAGATACTTCAATCTGGAAACCTCTGAGACAACGACAAAAAACCCCCGACACGACAAAAGAATCTTGAGAAAGGCAGACGAATCGCGAAAGGCACAAGGACTCGGCGAATCTTCTTGCTTCGTGAGAGTGAGCAAAACAATTCCCTTGTCGGAGTACAAACGGGAGGACGTGAAATCCTACAATATTCGACATGATTACCACATTGTCAAAATACTTGATGACCCGAATTCTAAAAACAAAGTTGGCGCTTTTAACGGCGGAGTGTTTGTCGTGAAACACAAGATCACTCAGTTGCTGAGTGTTGAGAAGAGGTCAGTAAATTTCGCAGGCCCCGTCACCCTGGCTTGATGGTCTGACTCTTCCGAGATTCAAAGAACAAGATATCCACTTCACTAAGGATGAAGTGCATATGCTTCACAGGCTGAGGCATGCCTCAATCTCATTTTTTACCGCTGGCTTCGTCACACCCGACCTAAAAAGAGCCTCTGTATACGTCGAGTTTTGCGACAGAGGCTCCTTGGAAAATCTCATCAGGGCCTTCGGTACAAAACGTCTGCATGCAAGTTCGGATGCTGAGAAGCCGGAAGTCCCTGAACGCTTTATTTGGCACGCATTTGCAGGACTCTGCGACGGATTAGCGTATCTTATGAGTGGTCGGACCTATCTCTCGAGCGATGTCACGGATTACGATTCAGCCCCTGGTTGGGTGCCCATCCTCCATCGCGACATGAAGCCTGACAATGTCCTGATCCGGTCAAGAGGGACTGTGGGAACGAAGCGATACTTCTACTGCGTTCTCAGTGATTTTGGCCTCGCATGCGAGGACAGACCGCCTGGACATCCGAAAGAAGATCGAGGTCAAAAGTCCAGGGGCAAGTGCGGCACGAAAACCTATTGGGCTCCTGAGCTGCTCTACAATCCATACCCTAAGATTCCATATCCTGATCGCTTATCTCCTGATAAACCCGAGTGGAACCCCGAATATTATTACTTCCCCGACCAGCAGAAGCACACCGCCAAATCCGACCTCTGGGCATTGGGTGCCATGATGTACAATCTCGCAGACTGTGGACCACTGAGTCGGAACGGTGTGCTAGAAGTCCATGCTTCGACCCACTTACTTTGGGACGGGAAACCATCAAATATTAGCTGGGACATCTACCAAGACGGAACGATTTCACGTAAGACACTTGATATCAATAAGCTGAAACTCAACAAGCCGTATACGAGCTTCCTCAGTGATGCCATCAAGTTAGCTACGAGGGAGCTGCATAAGAGACCTGACCCAATTAGTATGTTGATGGCGTTGAAAGATCTGATGAACAACAGTGGATTCATAAACCATATTCCGAAGGGTCACGAACATGAGCAGCTCCCGAGTTGGGCGACGCGGGTGCACGATTATCATTCTTTGCCTCCTATCGACCCAAAGTTGTTTCCGGAGAATTAGGGGGTGCGTCGGCGGAGAGCTCTTGATGCGTTCCCTGCCCTATCACGGATGTTAGTCAACAATAAAAATCATGAGAGTTGACCAATTCATCCAACGCGTCCTTCCACCGACCCCAACCTCATTAATGATAAAGCTTCGTCCTCCTAGTTACTGCATATCAGCTGCTTCTGTCCACCGACTCAATCCAGACTACCTCATACGACTATAGCTCTCACATTAATCATTCACGGCACCTCTATCCTCATATTTTTCCCTACACAACACTATGATACGCACGTCTATCCCTCCTAATTAATCACCACAACAACCAGGTCGACACAGCGCGAAACCTCTCATTGACTATTCTCCCAGAGAGACCACGGTGTTTTATGTTATTCCAAGGTTTGCTTGCTAGTCGGACTGCTGCTCTGCCCGGCCAGAAACGAAACAACACCTTTACCAACTCAGTCATCTAGGCAGTTTAAATATACCAACAACTCCAACACGATGCTCTCAAATATTTCAGTCCATTCATCTCCTTTTCCCATACTCGCACCAGAACATATCTACTAAAAAATTCCCCCGAACGCTCCTCACGTTTACATCCCACGCTCCTTTACTCTTTTCCCCTCATCCCTTCTCCTCCATTTTCCCACTGCCCTGCTCTCTCCCCTTCTCGTCTCCGTTTTCCTTCCACTCACACCCACCCATACACACGCTAAACTCATTACAACCCACGCCGCAAACGCAACCACTCCCCCATAAACCACACATATAACACTTCCTAGCCACCACGAACTTACTCCAATGATACAGCTCCCAAATGCAATCAGGCTAATCGCAATTTGCAGCACCACAAGCACATGCCCCAAACTATCCTTGAAATTCCGTGTCAGTTCTGTCCCCTTGATTTCATGATCTTGCTTCGATCTTCGCAATCCTACAAATCGTCAGCACTCCCCCAATAACGCGCGAGTGAGTGAGATATGGGTGCCGTACTTTTCGTATCTTCTCTCAGTAGAAGACAGAGGATGATGGTGTGTGCCATCATGAGTGAAGAGAGGATTAACAGTGAAGGCGGGGTGCTTGTGTTTAAGAGGGAGAAATACTTCAGCCTGTGCGAGAGGGATGAAAAAGACGGTCTTGGTGACGTGAGCTTTGAGTGGAGATGTTGAACCGCAGCTTGGGTGTCGATATCTTCGCTGATTGCTTGGCGGAGAAAGTCAAGCTGCTCCTTCATTGGGAAGTTCATAGCGAGCTTTTCTACCAACGGCATTGCACGAGGTATGAATAAGGAATTGGGCTGACAATGAGGCTGAAATATGGCTGATTTTCGAGTCTACCCTATGACGTTGGGCGGAGATAGATCTGAGACGAACCAAGATGAAAGGGGAAAAGACGGTACCAAAATCTACGATCTATTTGCGTCATTCATTGCATTTCCAGTAAAATCAGGTCTATATATCCAATACAAAAGTCATCATCAAATCATAACTCTGAAACCTGCTCCCCCTCCCTCTGCGGTGTCAACAAACTCCGCGTCGTTGGAGCAGCACCAAGTGCTCCCATCTCCGCGACCTTGTCACCAATTGACCCTTCACTCATCTCCGTCCCCTTCCTACTGAGGCTGCGAATCGAAGATGCTCTGCTCCTCGCACGTCCCCAAAATCCTTGTCTCAATCCAAATCTTCCGCCTCTCCTTTCCTCCTCATTCTCCTCTTCCGAGATAAACCATCCAGTAGCCCTCTTCACAGTTTTCCAAGCCTCAACACCAAGGACGAACACAATCACCGCACCAAAAGCAAGCCCCCACTCCCAGGTAATGCCGACATGCTTGAACACTTTCGTGTTCAAACCCGGAATGTAAACGGCTGGGAAGACAGAAACCGCACCGATAACCACTGCCCAAAACAAGAACCTGTTCTCATAAACATCTTTAAAGAAAGGAAATCTTGATTGAGTAGCAGGATCAAGGCGGAACATGCTCCGTCGAATAGATTTGAATTCCCACGCCGCGACGAGGATCAACCACGTCAATTCCGCGAAAGCTGTTGCTCGCGCACGGAACACGGGCTCGCAAGACGAGAGATATGTATCCGTTTGATAATTCCGATTACAGTCGGATCCGAGACGGCCATCGTAGACGCCGTAGATGATGATGACAAAGGTCAAAAGGGTGCAAGTCCCCATCAAGAGGCCATACACGAGCATATCGACGATGATTTGCGGAGTGAAGACACCGTATTTTATTGAATGTGGTTTCCTTCTCATGATATCAGAACTTGCTGGTTCGCGGCCCAGTCCGAAAGCTGGAAATGAGGAGGTAATCATGTTTATCCATAATATCTGGAGAGGTGACAGGGGGAACACGGATTGATTGCTCTCATCCTGGAACCCGAGACCTGCGATGAGAAGGATCACCTCCCCGACATTAGAGGCGAGCAGATGCATGACGAATTTCTGGATGTTGTCGAACATCCTCCGCCCCTCGCGGATCGCGGCAACGATGCTGTTGAATTTGTCGTCTGTGAGGACGATCTTTGCAGCTCCTTTGGCGACATCGGAACCGGCGAGACCCATGGCTATGCCTACATCTGCGGAGCTGAGAGAGGGAGCGTCGTTCACGCCATCGCCTGTCATTGCCATGTAGAGTCCGCGACGGCGCAGGGCCTGGATCATGCGGGTTTTGGTGTCCGGTGCGCAGCGGGCGAGGACGAGGGGAAGGGAGGGAAGATCGTCGATTTGGGCATCGGTGAGGGCGTCGAAATCGGTTGCTTTTTGGATAATTGATGCTGAGACTTCGGGTGGCAGGATTGATAGGTTGTGAGGGATAATGCCGATTTCTTTTGCGATTGCCGTGGCTGTTGCAGGATGGTCGCCTGTGAGCATGTGTACTTTTATACCTGCTTCTGAACACTCTCTGATTGCGTCTTTGGTTTCGTCGCGGGGAGGGTCGTAGATTCCGACGAGACCGATGAGTGTCAGCTCTTGTTCGACTTCTGTGCGAAGAGAGTCGACGTTGCTTCCGTGCTGTTCGGGAAAGTCCCCATCCCAGGTTCTAGAAGCGACTGCGAGCACTCGTTGACCTTGACCGGCAAGCTCATCCATTTGAGCAATGACATGTTCCTTCATTTTATCAGTCATAGTTTCGTTGTTCGAGCCAGTTCCAATAGAAGAGCAAAGATCGAGGATGCGTTCTACAGCACCCTTGGTGTAGATCATGCTGTCGTTTGTCTCTGGATCTCTGTAGACGACAGACATCCGCTTGATGCTGCTGTCGAATTGAAATTCTGCAATTTGCTTCCATCCATCGGCCTCGAGACGTTTCTTGCCAAAGTCAAATCGACGAGCGAAGACTTGCAGAGCAATCTCGGTCGGCTCCCCTGTGGTCTGCCATTTCTCCTTTCTATCACCTTCGGTCTTCTCAAGTAGCACAGTGGCTAAGTTGCAAAGTGCTGTCGGCACCAAGAATGCTTCGAGTTGGGGAGTGAGCTCTGCCACTTTTTCGTCTTCAGAGAGATTTCTATTTTGTTGATCTTTTGCGAGCTTCGCCAGTGGGATGTCGAATGTGAGTTGGCGGTCGTCGTCGTTCTTCTCGTCAGTAGTACTCGTAAGAAAAGGCTCGGGACCTTTGGTGACCGTGCCCTGGGTTGGGTTGCTGGGGTCGGTCGAGTGGTTGACGGTGTAGATTCCAACCTTTGGTAGCCAGACCTTCTTTACGATCATAGCTCCTTGAGTAAGAGTGCCGGTCTTGTCTGAGCAGATGTTGGTGATGCCTCCAAGAGCTTCGAGGGCTGATAAGTCTCGGATGACAACATTGGCTTTTCTCATAACTGTCATTCCGACCACCATTGTGATTGTGAGAACACTACAATATGTCAGTTAGATTCTGGAGGAAACCAAGAGACGGGGGAGGACATACGCAATCAAAGATTCAGGAATGATGGCGATACCGGTAGAGATAGCATAGACAGCAACTTCGTCCTAAGGATAGTCAATTATGGGAGCAGCTTTTCTTTAAAGATTGATACTCACAGTAACATTGAATCGATTGACTCCGAATACAATGATAGCAAGCAAGATAGCGCAGCCGAACAAGAGATAGGCAAGCGCGGATAGCTTTCGCTGAAGAGGTGTTCCCTCGGTCAGGCCAAGGAACTTGCCAATGAAGTCATAAACTCGTCGAGCTCCACCTTTCACCGGTTGAGTCTTGCCATACTTCTTGTAGTTCATGGATCGCCCGGCCTTTCGAGTCTTCTTCGTAGTCGACGCTGCGATCTTTCCAACTTCCGTCTGCATTCCGGTGAACGTCACAATGCCTCGGCCACGACCTTTGGTAACAGTTGTTGTCGAGTATGCCATGTTGAAGCGATCGCCAATACCAACTTCTCCTTCCTCCGTTGCTAGATTGTCCGAACCTGGGATGCGGACATCGTGCGCTATGCGCTTCTCGACCGGCTCGGCTTCGCCAGTCAACGATTTCTCGTCACAGTTAAGATTCATAGCTTCGAATACTCGAACGTCGGCTGGGACTGTATCCCCAGTCTTCAAAATAATAATGTCTCCAGGAAGCACTTCTGCACTAGAAGAATATTAGCAATGAATGAAGCGGAGAGAAGGGAAGCGTACATACCTGGGAATAACTTCGTTCTTGCCATCTCGCAATACCGACGCACTGGGTGACGAAAGAGCTCGCAAAGAATCCATTTTCTTCTCAGCCTTGAATTCTTGGAAGAATCCAATGGAGACGTTCAAGAAAATTACTGCTGCAAGGACTCCTCCTTCGATGTAGTCGTTCACTCCAAAACTCAGAGCCATTGCAAAGACCAGGACCTGCCAAGCTGTTAACCCTCTACCGAAAACCCAAAACAAATGCCGACTTACCAAAATCATGGCATTGCTAATCTGCTTGAGGAGGATCTTGTACCAAGAAACGCCTCCTCCACCCTCGAGTTCGTTCGGTGGGAACTCATTTCGAAGCTCTGCAACCTGCCTGGCGCTTAAACCGGTCTCGATGTTGGTTCCCAGTTGCCGAGCAACATCTTCAACAGATAGCAGAAATGGGTGTCGGTCAGTTCCTTGTGGTGTTTGTGTTGTGGGTGCCATCATGAATCTGCGTCATCTGATGGCAATTGAAGTGATTGTTCTGTATGTCGTAAATTGGTTCTATTCCTAGTCGAGGGAATAGTAGGGAATGTCTAAGGAAAGATATACAACAGAGGGCTTTGGTCTGAAGCCCAAGGAGAGGGTGGCTACCCCGCTGCATATATATTCCTCGGCCGGCAAAGACGGGTTGGGTGATTGATAAGAGAGGGTCGAACGACCCACCGGTCAGGATGGGTGCCAAGGACAACATTTTCTTATGATGTCTTCCTGCCAATAACTGTGGTTATGGTGTTGAACGGCAAGAGGCCAAGCCCTTGACATTGGGACCGAACGGATCTTGGCTATCACCGAACGGCTCTAGTCGGCGGAGGGGAGTGGCGGAGCCAAGTTTCTTGGGGCGGCGGAGAGGAATTTCTCTGATAAGCGGCCGGCGGAGGTGGCGAAGCAGAAAAAATGTTGATCCGTGGGCAATGTGAGTGGATGAGAGGAGCTGCGGAAGGGTTCTGGAAGAAGTTGGCCTCGTCATGTGCTTCTTGGCGCCTTCTTGGCTTGCTCTTGGGCTTGGCGTCCGCTCTTGGCGCACCCGGCAAGAAATTCCCAATCGAAACTGTGACGACAGGACCACTTTTCACTTCGCGCCGTTGAAGCCCATTGAAGAGTGCTTGACCAAAAGGGTTTGTAAGGCTCGAAAGTCAATTGACCTCGAGAGATAGTCGTATTTATGACCGAGCCCTTTCCCCGCCAAGGTGGCAGGATGTTACTATTGCAACGAGACGCTCGACCATAGTCCTTCCCTCCTTGCTACCAATTGCGCCTTCAAGCTTTCAGAGCCCAATTGTTCCAAGATACGTTTTAGTCCGTAGAGCAGTTGCCCCTCTCTAATTGAGAAGGCCTGGTCTGACTATGACGGAAGGTTCTTCTTCGCTTCAGATGGTGCACCCCGCAACGTGGAGTACTTGTATCTAATTATGGCGCTATGCGAGGGCGTGACCCTGAATTTAAACTCCGCAAATACTTTGTGTGTAGGATAAAAAAACCCCTACCCCGAAGTAGGGATGCTAAAATTATATAATTTAGGACTTGAATACGTAATATCGTAAAATAATCACTCCGACTTGATTATGGTGATATTATCTTGCATATGAGACATAGCTAATCAGAAGCCTCCATTTTACTAGCGCGGTTTCGTGCTCCTCCCCAATAATCAAATCCACTAATTTACCCTTTTCCACGTGCCGAATTATGCACGATTTATACGCTCTTTTATGCAGTATTTTATGCATTATAATATTGGCGACTTGATTATTATATAATTATGCCGGACTTGATTATTATATAATTGTAATAATTATAAATCGTGCATCCCTACCCCGAAGTGTGTTTCTAGCACGTTCGCCTCCACAAAACCTTGAATTCCAGCTCTCTTATTCCTTAGTACCATGTGCGGCGTCTGTGGATCCAGACAGGGCATGGGTTTATTTACCCAAATCACCAAGTATTCCAAGAGCTATCTCGAGATATCAAAAGCCGAAGCTCCTGCATGCCTTGTGCCACGTGATAGACTCGTCCGGTCTGGCTCGAAGTTCGATAAACAGCTTGAGACTACTAGCTACTCTCTCAAGTCAAAGTCCATTGGTAGGAGAGACTATGTGAACCCTCCCAATATAAAGGATGATATATTATAGATAATAATCACGTGACCATGCACGCCAAAGACTCGGCACATTCTTTCAACTGCATCATAAGCGCTCAACCGCACCGTCCGCTGTTCGATCGTATGCGGACCCTGGAGGTATATAATATTTATCATTGCTGGATATTCAAGCTGGTGAATCCACGCAATACTCATACTTCCCAATAAGAGCATTTCCCGACAGGTTTCGGAGCCGAGGCTGTGCGGCTTTGATGCGGGATCACTAATAGTCGGACTTAACGATTAAGTCCGACTATTAATCCGTGTTTGACTACTTCGATTACTGAGCAGGTTGTGAAAGATTGGAGGCGCGTCGATATTCAGACATGACTGGTGAGAGGCTCTGGATCAAGCAAAATTGGGGGGTTTTTAGAAGGGATCACCTACCAACCGCCCAAACCCCCTTCCTGCCCACGCCTCCCTACCAAAACTTTCTCGTTTTTTCAAGTCTTGGGAAAATAAAAATAAAAAATCAAGATTATAGAGAATACTCGAAACATTGCGAATATCATATTAATTTTTCGAATTTGTGGCGTTAAGGTCTCCAAAATCCAAGCTGGGTGGGCGGTTGGTGGGTGATGCCTTCCAAGTGCGAAGGGCGCAAGTGTCTCTTTGCCACCACACTTTCTCAGGATACTCCTTCATTCGCGTATCAATTGAGGGACCTTAAAGTCCGTCGCCCTGAAATAAATCCTTCACTGCTCTGTGTTCTTGTAATCATCTAGAATTGTATCCTTTCTCGCTTTTCGTCCCATCGTCTGCCGAGATAGGCAATTTAACAGCTTCAAGATCACTCGGCCGTAGAGTAGTGTCCGTACGAATGCGCTCCATGCCGCATTACGTCTCCATCTCCTCAGTTTGAAACCCACCAAAAAGGTTTATTAATCTTTCCCATCCCCTAGAATTCTGCAGTCATGCAGGAAAGGCGTGCTTGAAGATCAATCACATACTATTTGTCCTTGTCAGCCCGGCTAGTCGGCCTGAGCCTCCCTAGTAAACAATTCTCTGGATCTTCTGATTAGTCAGGACGGATTGAATGCCGAGCTCGACTATATATGCAAGTGCAATCAGTTTTGGCTCGACATAGTCAATCTTGAATCCACTTAGAACTCGTCACGATGGCCGAATCTCAGATGCAGGCTTCGACCTCTACGCTTTTCGTGGAACAGGACGTTCTAGAAATAGAGAAACCAACTGCCGGCGATATCTATGGTGAGGATGATTCCGATGGGGCTGTGGAGGGTGGTGGTGGAAATATCGAAAAGAAGAATCAAGATTTAGAGAAGGGTCCCTCAAAGCATGCGTCTCCAGCAGTTCTCGATTGGGACGGACCAGATGATCCTGAAAATCCTCATAACTGGCCAATAGGGAAAAAGGTTATGCACATTATAGCACCCGCAGTAATATCTCTTACAGCGTAAGTCTTCCTGTCCTAGTATATAAACATATTCTAACAACTCAAACAGTTCTTTCGGTTCCTCCGTCATCTCACCAGCATTCCCAGCCCTCGAAAAGCAATGGGGCATCAGCTCAACAGTTTCCATCTTGCCTCTCACAACGTATGTGCTTGCACTCGGACTCGGGCCTGTCATTGCAGCACCAATCTCCGAAACCTATGGACGACACATTGTGTATCTCGCCTCAACCCCACTAGGAGCACTCTTCACGATGGGCGCAGGCTTCTCCCAGAATATCTGGACTCTTTGCATCCTTCGTTTCTTCGCTGGTCTTACTTTCTCCCCAGCGCTTTCCATTGGGGCTGGTTCAAACGCAGACGTCGTCACGACCCAGAATAGAGCAACCGCCTCAGCATTCTACATCTTGAGCCCTTTTCTCGGTCCGGCATTAGGGTAAGCCATCACCCCTTCCCCTTCCACTTCTCCCTCAGCCCCAAAACTAACCAAAACTCTCTACATAGGCCGGTAATCGGTTCTTTCGTAACCGTTCGCAAATCCTGGCGCTGGACCCAATGGACCCTTATCTTCTTCGCCATCTTCTCCTTCCTCCTCACGCTCTTCACCCACGAAACCTACAAGAAAGCCCTCCTCCTCCGGCGTCTCAAATCCCGCGGTCTCCCTCCACCACCCAGCCCCTTCCCCTCCACGCTCGCCAAACTAAAATTCTTCCTCACCGTCACGCTCCTCAGGCCTTTACATATGCTCGTCACGGAACCAATCGTTGGGTTCTTTAGTTTGTATGTAGCCTTCAACTTTGCGGTGCTGTTTTGCTTCTTTACGGCGTTTCCGTGTGTGTTTGAGAGTATGTATGGGTTCAGTACGGAGCAGACGGGCTTGGTATTCTTGGCTATTGGGGTCGGTTGTGTACTTGCTGTGCCGACTACTATTCTTTGCGACATCTACCTGTACCAACCGAGATTCCGAGCTTCGAAGGCGGCTGGGAAGGGAGGAGTTGTAGCGCCGGAATATCGACTTTATCCAGCGATGATGGGAAGTGTTGGGCTTCCGCTTGGTCTTTTCGTAAGTCGCGGACAGCTTGGTTCAATTTTTGGGCGAAACTGGGGCTAATATCTTGCAGTGGTTTGCCTGGACTGCGAAAAGAGACGTACCGTGGGCCAGCCCAGTCGTAGCAGCGATCCCCTTTGCATGGGGAAATCTCTCCATCTTCCTCTCTGCCGCAAACTACCTAATTGATACCTACCAAGCGCTGAACGGCGCCTCTGCACTCGCGGCAAACGGCTTTCTGCGGTACACGTTGGGAGCCGTGTTTCCCCTTTTTACGCTGCAGATGTACAGGGGATTGGGTATTGGGTGGGCGACGAGCTTGTTGGGTTTTGTTACTGTGGCTTTGATGCCGGTTCCGTGGGTGTTGTTTAAGTATGGGAAGGAAATTAGGGGAGGAGTAGTTATGAGACTTCGAAAATTTAGGTGTTTTGCACTAGAAAGGGAGAAAATTTGAACGTGGATAGAAAAAATGGAGCCAAGGACTTGGAAGAGGAAGAGGGAGCCACGAAGTTCTTGCTAAAGTCAGTAAGAAGCATAAGAAGCTGAGTGTTGAGATTGTGTACAGAGATGAATATTATACCAGAATACACAGCATAGAGTTGAGAGATCAGAACCAGGCATAAGCTATCCGATCAAGTATAGTGAAGTTCGCAGGAGAATTTCTGGTTGGGAGACCTTACCTGAGTCTAAGCGGGTTTACCCCTTTTTGAAGACGACTCCCCCTTTTTTGGTGCACCATCTGTATAGCAACAGGCCTTACTCTTACTTATTCTTCTCTCTAAGCTTTATTGACCTTCTTTGTTTATGTGCTTTAAGAACCTCATCAGTGAGATTAATAGATCATTACTTGTGCTAGTGTTCTGTCAACTATGCTTAGTAAAATGCTCCTTTACTACTTTATCTTTAGGATTTGAATTGTGTTTTAATTTGCTCTAATACAGACAGCCTTGGGAAATTTCAAGCTCAATGGAATTTTTCAACTATAGCAAGCGCTCCTCTTTTCGCTGAAAATAAACCTGTGCACTGCAATAAGGCATTCAGTGAAATGGCTAACCAACTCCAGCTACCCTTTATAATTATAAAGAATGAATAAGCAAGCACTTTGCAGATGTAGAAGTAGTTATGGACTCACAAATTTATTCTCTACGTTATTACAATACCACATGCCATGAATTATGAATTCGTTCCCTAATATCAGTGACAGGAAAATTTATTTCTGTGAGTCATTCTCACGGGATAGGCTTATAGATTCGTTTCTAAATTTCAGTAACAGCCCCCTATGTCGAGCCTCTATGCCATTGCCACGCCGCAAGAATTCAATTCTACATTTGGGTAACTGCCTATGAAAATAAAAGCCAACACGACTATTGTGTTGAGAGCGAGGCCATATACCTCTGCTGGACTAGCAGCTCAAGACTCTGCAGACACAGGTGCAGTAAGTCGCTCCTCAAAACACAGCAGATGTATAGCACATTGCTAATGTATCACGAGACCAATTTTTCCTTGGGTGCTGATCCAGGAGAACCACAACACACTTGCTCTTCTCCTTCCCGATCACGATAAAAAGGCGCAAAACAGGTTCAAACAAGACCAAAACAAGGATCTCAAGCGAGGGAAACTACCTCTAGATCCACAGGTAAGTCTGAAATTTCTCTGAGTGCTGAGCTCTCCTATAGTAATCTCCAAACAGCTCTTGGAACATCCTACTAGAAATGTTGAACAGCTGCTGAGACATTCTACTAGCAATGCCCAACGGCTGTTAGAATATTCTACTCTCGAAAATACCTGAGACAAGTACGTTGACTCCTTTTGTGAATAGGCTAGAGAATGTGGGCAATTGAAGGTGTAAGACAGAAATATAGACAAATTTTACTACTGGCATGGCTGCATTGTGATTCTGAAGCAAACATTTAAAAGTACATTGGTAAGTCCCATCGGAGTTTAATCCCTCTTCTAGCAATGTCCAACCGTTCTCAGGACATTATATTAGCAATGCCTTGCAGCTCCTGGAACATTTGAACCCAGCCAATACCTGAAAGAAGTATACTGACTTCTAGTTCTTGGGAATAGGTACACATTCCGGGTGGCTGCAGTTGTGCTAGCTCTGACGATTATCTTTGGGCTGGCCCAGACCATAGAAACTGGAATTCAGGCATATTATACTGTTCATCCTATATCATAATTGTAATTGCATTTCACTCTCACTTGCAAGTTGCTCTCAATGCTTTGAAGCAAGGAGTAGGCCAAACTACCCCGCAATGCAGGGTAATTTAGCTCGAAAGTGTATTCCAATTAATAAATAGAGAAGCTAAAACGTGAACCATGTCTATCTCTGTTTCTTATGTTTATTCTATTATGCCATTTCGGTAAGCTTAATAATTATTAAGTTAAGTTATATAATATTATTTTTAAACTAATTAACTTAATTACTTTATTTAAATAAAATAAAATATTAGTGTTTTCTTTATTTATATAAAGAAATAAAAATAATTATATATCTTTAAATATTGAATTAATTAATATTATAATACTACTTATACTTTCTTTACTAATATTAAATTATTTATTCTTACTTTTTATTTAATTCTTTAATGTGAGGTATTTATTAGTAGGTAATAAGACAATAGAATGAATTAGTGAGTTATAAAACCATAGTATTAAATTCAGTATAGAACTAATCTCTGTCTCTCCTGTGAGGTCCAGGAAAGCCCCCTCTAAATAGGAGGCCCTTATAACATATATATAGTTAGTAATTTATAAGCCTAATACTTATAATATAAATAGTAGTTAGTTGTAAAGTTAAAGGATTACCGATCTCCCTAATTAATACCTGTAATATCCGAGGTTTATTATATGTTTTTAAGTCACGTGCGACCCTATATATATTATAACTATATTCCCTTTCTAGAATCTTGTCCCCAAGATCTATTAATCTATCCTGGTAAATATTTAATTAATTATTCATTTAATCGAGGTAAACTTCTAGTATCTTGAGAGGTGGTTTTACTAATATAATCTGGATAATAGACGTAAAAATCGTCTAATTAGATTAGAGCTAAGTAAGCGAAAAGGAAGGGTAATTATACTTCAGGTATAGGGGCTAGCTAGTAATCGCGATTTCGTTTGGGATCTGAGTATTCTAATTAGCTTAATTTAAAATACCAAGATACTATCCTATAAAATTAATACTATCTATCAGATCTCGTATTAGAATAATCTAAATAGCTATATAGAAAGAATTTAATAAATATTTATATAAGAAACCTATATAAATATTTCTAAGGTTCTAGAGATTATTTATAGACTTCTGGGAATATATATTAATTAGTTATACTAATTTCTAATTAGGACTAGTATAAAAACTAATAGTTAATTTAGGTAGTTCTTTATTTCTATAAAAGAACCTCTTTATATTACTATATACTCTTTTTCTTTCTAATAATTATATATATAATAACTTTTTCTATTATTACTTTCTAGTTTCTTTTTCTGCTTTTCTCTAAGTTTTTTTTAATTATTTTTAATTAATTCTATAATATCTTTTTCTAGCTTTATTATTTGTCTATATAATAATAAGTATAAAGGTAATTTTATAGCCTCCTTTCCTATTACTAGTAAATACTTGAAATATTTCAAGTATTTACTTATTAATTTCTTTATCTTATATACTATAGTATCTAGTAAAAAGAATTATAACTATTATAATAAGGGTTCTGAGTCTTATATATTAGTAAGTTCTTTAGCTTTAATATCTATTAAAGCTAATACAATTTCAGATTTCTTATTATTTATTAGAAGCTTACTAGTTCTAGGAAAATATTATTATAACTTTTAAGAAATTTCTTAAAGTATATTCTAAATAGTATTATACTAATAAGAATAATACTATTAATTAGGTTTTTAAAAACTAGAAGAATACTAATAAGCTTCGGAATTTTTCTTCCTATTTTAATAAGGCAAATAATAATATTACTTAGGTTAATATTCTAAAGATAAGTTTTTTCTAATATACTTAGGTACTTACTAATTCCTTAAAGAAATACTATAATATCTATTTTTAAGATATTAACCTTATTACTAAGCTTATTACCGAGATTACTAAGTAGTTTATTACTAGTATTTCAAGTACTAATAATATAATACTTATAGCTATTCGGGACCTAATCTCAGAAGTTCGGGCCTTTTATAAGATATATATAGCTATTATAAGTTCCTTATTTATTTCTCTTAATATCCTTAATACTAATATTATTATAATATAACTATATTTTATTAAGAAATAAGCGAATTCCGGAAAGTATTAGCTAATTCTTTACTAAGTCCTAAATAGGACTAGTATTTAGTATTCTTACTTTAGGAATTAGGAATTTATAAGAATTAGAGTTTATTTATTTGAGATACCTATAGCTAGTTTACTTATAATAAATCTTTCTTAATCCTAAATCTTTTTCTAATAATTTAAATATAATTCTTATAAGCCTTAATAAAATCCTAAAAAACTTTTATAAGTAAAAAAACTTTAGGGAAAAAGTATTTCTATTATTATTTCGGGCCTTTTCTTAGCTATTTAGATTCTCTCTTTCTTTTAAATAGTCTTTTTCTTAATAGTCCAGAATTCTTTTTAATTTTAAGAAACTATTAAAAAGTAGTTTCGGATTCCAAACTATAATTTTAATTGTATAATTTTAGAAATTTCTTGGAATTTTTAAGATTAGGGAAAGTAAGTAATTAGGTATTATAATCTTTAGGCCAGGCTTTCTATTTAATTAAATACTATTATTTCTTATTTCTATTATCTTATTAGTAATTAATAATAGCTTCTATTTCTTATTTTTATTCTTTATTATTATTTACTAATTCCGGAAGTTCTCTAAAGAAATATAAGTATAGCTCCTAACTTTTTTTTACTATATACTTTTTAAGAAAAGAAATATAGAAAGTTAGATATAAATAATTATATATATTTAATAGTTCTAATTTATATATTAAATTACTAATATATTTAAGGATCCTAAATAGATTTATAAATTTTGGCTTAAGCTTTCTTGCCTTAAGTTTAATATTCTTTATTAATAATATTATTTAGGCTTTTTTAGAATAATATTTAACTAACTAGTACTTATTATACTAGGTTTCTCGGTTATTTTATATATAATACTATAAATTCTTAAGCTTTTTTTTATTTTATTTTAAGGATTTCTAGCCTCTTATATATAGCTAGTATCTTTTCTATAATTCTATTCTTAGAATTTTATAAAAGTTAAAAATAGTATTCGTAATATATATAGAAAGATATATCTTATAAAACCTAATATTTTAAGTTATTATATATAAATTCCGTAAAAAATAACTTCTTAAACTAGTTATTTTTTTAAGTATTATAATAATATTTCAGATAATATTTCAGGGCCTGGTTTTACTTTTCTATTTAATTATCTGTTTAAGAATAATAAG